TGTGTGTGTGTGTGTAAGTGCTGAATTAGAAGCTGCTTTCTGCATCCCAGAGTAATGTCTTTTCACATTCTGTCCTCCAGTGGAACCAAAGATTGTCATGCCAGAGGCAGCAAGTGCTAGAGCTGGAGCCAAGCTTAGAGTGGAGGCAGTGGTTTCAGGAAAACCGACCCCAACCTGCAAGTGGCTGCGTGGCGAAAAAGCCGTGGTTCCATCCAGCCGCCTGGCTGTGCATCAGTCAGGCAACTTGTGTGTCTTGATCATCAAAGATGTATCAAGGACTGACACTGGAGAGTACAGCCTTGTGGCTGAGAACAGCACTGCAAAGGTGACCCAGACCATGAAGATTGTCATCAGAGGTCAGTGCCCCTAAATAATAATAAATTTTAAAAAAGAATTTGCATATTTGACCTCAGCAACAGAAAGCATGAATGTGATGAAGAACATGATTGGTGTATCTGTAACCGTGTGTATTTCAGATATACCCGGGCCTCCTGAGGGCCCTGTAGAGATCAGCGATATTGACTCTGATGCTTGTTCCTTATCCTGGAATAAACCTCTGGAGGATGGAGGGAGCAACATCACTAACTACGTGGTGGAGAAATGTGATGTGAGTAGAGGCGACTGGGTGACTGCTGTCTCTACATGCCCAAAGACTAATTGCAGGCTGGGAAAGCTTGTCCCTGGGAAGGAGTATGTGTTCCGCATCCGTGCTGAGAACCGCTTTGGCGTATCAGACCCCATTCAATCCGACAGGATGGTCGCAAAGTTCCCCTTTGGTAGGTCTACCTAAATATGCCGCTTGGTAGAGATTAAGGTTTATGCCTAGAGTTAGTCAATTATATCATTGAAAACTGGTTTATAATACAGAATATAGATTAACTTTGTTTACTGTCACTAGATGTTCCGAGTGAACCCTTTAACTGCCGCATCAACAAGACCAACAAAGACTGTATGTTTGTGGCCTGGGATAAGCCAGAGAGTGATGGAGGCAGTCCCATCACGGGTTACTACATTGAGCGCAAAGAGAGGAACAGTCTGCTGTGGGTGAAGGCCAATGACACTGTTGTTCGAAGCACTGAGTACCCATGTGCTGGCCTCATCGAGGGCCTGGAATACACCTTCAGAGTATCAGCTATTAATCGCGCTGGCCAGGGCAAACCAAGCAAGAAGACTGACTTTTTCACTGCAAGAACACCCGTTGGTAAGTTTGACTGGCTTCATATTAGATTAGAATAGGTCATTCATTTTATTTAAACTAATTTATCTGTTATGCACTACAGACACTCCAGGTAAACCTGAAGTCCTGGATGTAACCAAGAACTCAGTCACTCTGGTTTGGACCCGTCCTAAGAATGATGGAGGTAGCAAGATCATTGGTTACTATGTTGAGGCCCTGCGGGTTCCAGGAGACACTTGGATACGCTGCAACACAAGTAGCCAGAATGTGCCTAAGGAGGAGTACACAGTTACTGGCCTGGAGAGAGACTTGCAGTACCAGTTCAGAGTTATTGCGAAAACTGCTGTCAACATAAGCAGTCCCTCAGAACCCACAGACCCTGTCCTCGTGTGTGCTGAAAATGGTTAGAAGTTTTGACAATACCATATAGCCTGATAAACTAGTCAGCCTACTATAATAGTCAGGACAACACCATCTTTCTACGACAGTTTTGAGCCAAGTGTTCATTTACCTCCTTTTCATTAAATATAGTTCCTCCAAGGGTGGAGCTCAATGCCAGGATGCAGAAGGGTTTGAAGGTGAAGGCTGGAACTACAATCCTCCTGGAGGCTGATGTGTTCGGTAAGCCCATGCCCAGAGTGACCTGGAAGAGAGGTGACGACAATCTGAAGTCAGGTGAAGGCCAGGTTATTACCCACCAAAGAAATCACTTTCAGCTGGAAAGGACAGGTGTCACCAAGGAGCATACAGGAACATACACCATCTTGGCTGAGAATGCCAGTGGCTCCAAGAGTGCTGAGATCCAGGTCATTGTGCTAGGTAAGATCTTTAACTTTCTATGAGGAAAAAATATATATGTTGAAACTAAACCAAGATCCAAGTTGGAGTTAGAATGTTTAATATTACATTTTACATTAACTTCAACATGATTTTCACAAATAGCTGATTGGTTTTGTACATTTTCAGATGTACCTGGTCCTCCTGCAAATTACAAATGCGTTGAGGTGTTTGCCACTAGCATCAAGTTGTCTTGGGAACCTCCTCTTAAGGATGGTGGTGCCCCAGTCACCAACTATATTGTGGACAAGCGTGAAACCAGTAGACCTGAATGGGCTCAGGTTGCAGGTAAAATAAAGGGTGACATCCTTGATTTCACTGTGGCAAAGTTAATTGAAGGTCGTGAATACCAGTTCAGAATCCGCGCTGAGAACACGTGGGGAGTTGGAGACCCTCTTATCACCGGCCCTGTCATCGCCAAGAACCCATTCAGTGAGTCATTACTAGAATTTTGTCCGAGTTCATATATCACAGAAAGGATTTATGGTTTTGGAGAATTGTAACAATCAATAATTTAAACTAGGTCTAAACCTATGACATAAGGAGACAAGCAGCTACATCAAACCAGCTTAACATCATTACAATATTCTGTTATCATATAGAGCTTCTTTTCATAACATTTCCATGTTGAATGGCATATATAAAATTTCATTTAAAAAAAATACCATCTGAAGTCGTACCTTTGGTGTCACTTCCAGCTGTCCCTGGCCCCTGTGAAGCCCCAGTGATCACCAATGTAACCAAGGACCGTATGACCGTGAGCTGGAAGGAGCCTGCAGATGATGGAAAGTCCACTATCCTGGGTTACATGTTGGAAAAGAAAGAGACCAAGGAAATGAATTGGACCAAGTTAAATAGGAAGCCACTGACAGAAAGAAGTCTGGAGGTCACAGGCCTCACAGAGGGAGTCGAGTATGAGTTTAGAGTTATTGCTGTCAACGTGGCTGGGCCCAGCAAACCCAGCGAGCCTTCTTCTGGCAATGTTGCACAGAATCCTATTAGTGAGTCGTAACTTCATTAGCTCTGATAACTCTGCATAGATCTTTCTGTGTTACTTGAACTTATATGTACTTAAATGTATATATAACCTAAACTGGGTCAATCTGCTCTTTTTTAGCTCCTCCTGGACCTGTTGTGAATCCCAGTGTGACTGACACCACCCACAGCACCATCAGTCTTGCCTGGACTGCCCCCACCAACAATGGTGGAAGCCCCATTATTGGATACTTGGTGGAGTGCAAGAGGACAGACACCAAAGACTGGATCCGCTGTAATGTCCCAAGGAACCTGCAGGAGACCCACTACGTCATTCAAAACCTCATTCATAAGTCAGAATACCAGTGCCGCATTACTGCTGTCAACAAGATTGGCTTTAGTGAACCAGTTGAAGTCCCTGGGAAACATGTTGCCAAGGACATCGTTGGTATGTATTTTCAGGCTGCATATATTTTAATTCTGACAAACAGTGATTAAATAGTAAATGGTCTGTATTTGTATAGCACTTTTCTAGTCCCTAAGGACCCCAAAGCGCTTTACACAACCAGTCATCCACCCACACATTCACACACTGGTGATGGCAGCTACATTTCCACCCTGGGGCGCACTGACAGAGGCGAGGCTGCCGGACACTGGCGCCACCGGGCCCTCTGACCACCACCAGTAGGCAACAGGTGAAGTGTCTTGCCCAAGGACACAACGACCAAGACTGACCAAGCCGGGGCTCAAACCGGCAACCTTCCAATTACAAGGCGAACTCCCAACTGTTGAGCCACGATCGCCATGATTAAATAGTACATCTACAAAATAATTTAAGTACAACATAAAAAGAACTGCTCCTGGACAAATGCAGATTACGCATAGTTGTGAGGATCATGACTAAGACAGATGAAAATAGAACGACCAGGATTTCAGACTTTGTGACTTCACGTTATATAAAGCAGACACTTTCCTTAAACATACTCGTGAAATCATTCTCTCTCTGTGTTTGTACAGTTGCTCCTGAGGCAGAACTGAGTGCAGAGCTGAAGGATGGCCTGGAGCTACGTGCTGGTGCCACCATGAGACTGCATGCCACCATCAAGGGTTGTCCCACTCCCAAGATAACTTGGGCAAAGATGAACACTAACATTAAAGACCGTCAGGGCATCATCATCAAATCCACCCATGTTGACACCATGGTGATGGTGGAGAAAGTGAACAGATATGATGCTGGCAAATACATTCTGAGCTTGGACAGCTTAGCTGGCATGAAGATGTACACCATCGTTGTCAAAGTTTTTGGTCAGTACAGGAAGTTATTTCACTAAACAAATGCATTAATATTTTGCAGTGACTATAGTCAAGTCAAATTGATATTAGTCACTAATGGTTAGTCTTAGTTTCTTGATTAGTTCAATTTTACAAAAAAACAAAAAACAAAAACATTAGTATGAAGTGTTGTTTTATCTTTCCAGACACTCCTGGACCACCAGTTAATCTAATGGTGAAGGACACATGTAAGGATAGTGCCTCCATCTACTGGGATGCTCCTCTGATTGACGGTGGCTTTGAAATTACCCACTACATAGTACAGAAGCATGACACTGAGAGGAAGGCTTGGTCTACCGTTTCCACCAACTGCAATAAGACGTCATTCAAGGTTCCAGACCTAGATGCTGGGCGGTCCTACTGCTTCAGAGTGGCAGCAGTTAACCAGCTGGGTACTGGAGAGTTCTGTGAGACTGATGATTCAGTCAGAGCAACAGGTGGGTTGGATCATAACAGGTTATGTACTTGGATTTTGTTTCTCCAACTGTCATACTAATTACATTTAATTTTACAGAGGAGCCTGGGCCTGTCATGGACTTCAAGACCCTGCTGGTTACCAAGGATTCTTGCACTTTAAGCTGGAAGAAACCCCTCACTGATGGTGGTAGTCGCATCATCTGTTATGTACTTGAGGTTCTCAATGGTGAGGATAAATACAAGGAGCTAATGAGGTCTAAGAATATGCAGTACAGTGCCAAGGACCTGGTGGAGGATAGAGAGTATACCTACAGAGTCAAAGCTGTGAATGACACAGGAGAGAGTGCTCCCAAGGAGCTGAAAGTGGTTGCCAAGGACCAGATCAGTAAGTATCCCCTTTTATGAAACGTTCAGACAAATAACTTAATAAGTAAGCACATAAAGTCTTTAAATATGGATATATTAAGTAGTTGCTCCTTTCCTATAAAGTTCTTCCCAGTTGTGACTTGAGGGAGTTGCCCAACATGTGCTACATTGCCAAGGAAGGCAGTACCGTCCGCCTGAAGATCCCAATTATTGGCAAGCCTACACCCAAGGTAACCTGGAAGAAAGGAGATGATGAAGACCTGACAGACACTGGCCGAGTGTGTGCCGAGTCCTCAGCAGTTAACACCACCCTCCTCATCAGGGACTGCCAAAGGACTGATGCTTCCAAATACACCATCACCCTGAGAAACAGTGCTGGAAGCAAAGAGTCCACCATCTTTGTCAGGTAAGGATCATGTAATGGAATTTAAAGGGTATTTTCCTCAAAATGAATTGCACCATATCCATACAACAGTGTCTACACATAAAAAATGTCAAAATGATCCTTTTTCCTTATTAGGGTGGTGGGTAAACCTGGCATTCCTGGAGGACCAGTAAAGTTCAAAGATGTTGCTGCTGATGGTGCCACATTAAAGTGGGGTCCTCCCAAGGATGATGGTGGCTCTGAAATTACCAACTATATCCTGGAAAAGAGGGACTCCATCACAAACATGTGGGTGACTGTGTCCTCTGTTGTGGAGACCAACACCATGAGAGTAACTGGTCTTCATGAGGGCACAGAATACATCTTCAGAGTATGTGCCGAGAACAAGTATGGGGTCGGCGAAGGGCTCAAATCTGAGCCGACTGTAGCCAAACATCCATTCAGTAAGTACTGTATACTATTTCAAAGGCTGAATTGTGTTGTTATTCAATATTTATTTGTCTTTTTGGACTGCTAATCACTCTTCATCACTATTTTTGTACAGATGTTCCTGATGCTCCTGCTCCTCCTCAGATTATGAGCATGCGCCATGATTCAGCTTATCTTGCCTGGACTGATCCAAGGAAGACTGGAGGATCTCCTATTACGGGTATGGTCTGCTTTAACATTTCACCAACCTCCTCTCTGGCTCTATTCCACAGCATGTCTTTTGCCGTGTCTTCTTTTCCTAACACAAAACCGGTTGCAGATGGCCGCTCCTCCCTGAGCATGATTCCCCTGAAAGGGGATCGTCTGATTGTCGAGGTTTCTCTGTATAACTGTAGGGTCTTTACGTGCCATCAGATGACTGTTGTTGTTATTTTGGGTTACATAAATTAAACTGAATTTAATCGAACTATCAACAACTATGTTATTTTGTCCCGATGTTCTTGATACATTTTATATGTAAACTTTGGTTTATTTTGCTTTGGTAATATGTGCAGGCTATCATGTTGAGTTCAAGGAGAGAAACAGTATGTTGTGGAAGAGGGCAAGCCCAGCTGCCTTGAAGATGAGAGAACATAAAGTCACTGGGCTGACTGAAGGTCTGGAGTATGAGTTCAGAGTGATGGCAATTAATTTGGCTGGAATTGGTAGACCAAGTGCCCCCACTGATCCACAGGTGGCCCTGGACCCCATTGGTAAGTAAAAGAAAAAATTACAAACATCTTTACAAAAATGATTTTCAAATATAAAACAATACATTCATTATTGTCATATCTATACCGCTAGATGCACCTGGTAAACCAGATGTAATCAGCATTACAAGGAGCACTGTGACCCTCCAGTGGACTGAACCTCAGTTTGACGGTGGCCACCGACTGACGGGCTACATTATTGAGAAAAGAGACCTGCCTTCTAAAATCTGGGTAAAGGCAAACAATGTGAATGTTGTGGAACCTGCATTCACTGTCACTAAATTGCAAGAGGGCTGCAAATACGAGTTCAGAATTCGGGCAAAGAATGCTGCGGGCGCTCTCAGTCCACCCTCTGAGCAGACAGATACCATTATCTGCAGAGATGAATATGGTAAGATGAGATATAAATCTATATTAAAACCATTCTGAATGTTTTCAGGCAGCATGATAAAAATAAATGTTTCCATTTGTCCTCCATCAGCTGCGCCAACCATTATAATTGATGCTCAGGTGATGGAAGGCTTGACTGTCCGAGCTGGCGATACTATCGTCATCACTGCCACAAGCATTTTAGGGAAACCTGCACCAACCTCCTGCTGGTCAAAGGGAGGAAAGTACTTTAAACCCTCGGATCTTGTTCAAATTGAGACCACTGCCACATCCTCCACTTTGTCGGTCAAATATGCTAGCAGGAAGGACTCTGGAGACTACATAATCACTGCCAGTAATCCCTTTGGTGTAAAGGAGGAAACTGTGAAGGTCAAAGTTCTGGATGTTCCTGGTGCTCCTGGACCCATTGAGTGCAGTGGTGTATCCTCAGAAAAAGTGACTCTTACATGGACAGCTCCTACTGAAGACGGAGGCTCTCCTATCAAGTATTACACCCTGGAGAAGAGGGAGACCAGCCGTTTGCTCTGGACTATCCTGGAAGATAACATTATTGATTGTCACTATGTGGCCAACAAACTCATCCAGGACAATGAATACTTCTTCAGAGTCTCTGCTGTTAACCAGTATGGTGCCAGTGAGCCATCTCACTCTGAAGCAGTTAAAATGGTAGATAGATTTGGTATGTATCATTTATTTTTGTTATACAGTATATCTGGAAGAAGAATGCTAAATATTTGGATTCATCAATATATTTCTTTTATGGATGCACATAGGTCCACCTGGTCCACCTTCCAAACCAGAGGTTGAAAAAGTCGATGGACATTCAGCCACTGTGACCTGGAGAAGACCAACTGAAGATGGAGGAAGCGACATCATAGGTTATTGTGTTGAAAAGAAAGAGAAAAAAGGCATGAGATGGGTCAGAGCATCCAAGAAATCCATCACTGAACTCAGCTTTGAAGTCACAGGTCTTACTGAGGATGTGGAGTACGAGTTCCGTGTTCTTGCTGAGAACAGAGCTGGGTTTGGCGAGCCAAGTGAACCATCGATGGTTGTCAGGACAATAGTTGTTGCCTGTAAGTAAATAGATGTGAAAAGCAAAAGGCTACCAGACTCTGACATATTATTTCAACAATATAACAACAGTTTTGGGGTTTTTTTGTGTAAAAGTCTAGATTTATTTTATTAATTATAATAATAATAATTTCTTCTTTTATATCTTATAGATCCACCTGGACCTCCAGTCAATCCAAGAGTTACAGACACAACCAAAACCACTGCCACTCTGAACTGGGGAAAACCTCTTCATAATGGTGGACTGGAAGTTACTGGATATGTCATTGAGCACAAAAAAGAAGGAACAGAAGAATGGGTTAAGGATACCCCATCATCTCCACTTAGGATCACAGAATTTGTTGTTCCTGAACTAGACACTGGTGCAAAATACTGCTTCAGAATTAGTGCTGTGAATGCTAAAGGAGTGGGAGAACCTGCCGAAACTAAGGAATTCACTGAGATTGTGGAGCATGCAGCTGAACCTGGAATGGAGCTTGATGTTGAGCTCAGAAGAACTCTTGTTGTCAGAGCTGGCTGCTCCATTCGCCTTTTTGTGCCAATCAAGGGACGTCCTACACCTACTGTCACCTGGACCAAGGAAGGCGGACCTGTTCCACGTGCAGTCATTGACAGCACTGAATCATTTACGATGCTGATCATTCCTGAGAGTTCAAGAATTGATGCAGGTAAATACGAGCTTACCCTCGAAAACTCAGCTGGAAAGAAGAGTGCTGACATACACGTGAGAGTTCTGGATTCACCTGGGCCTCCGCTTAACCTAAAACCAATCAAGATTGACAAAGAAAGCATTACGCTTCAGTGGGAAATGCCTCTCATTGATGGTGGTGCAAAGATCACAAACTATATCATTGAGAAAAGAGAATCAACACGCAAGGCTTTTGCTACTGTTGTTACAAAGTGCCCAACTACTTCAGTCAGAATTTGTGACCTGGGTGAAGGTTGTGAGTACTATTTCAGAGTGTCTGCTGAGAATGAGTATGGTATCGGTGAGGCGGTTGAAACTTCTGATCCAATTCGCGCATCCCAGACACCAAGCTCTCCAGAGAGCATTATTCCTACTGATATCACCAAGAACTCTATCAGCCTGGCTTGGACCAAACCTAAGCATGACGGTGGAAGCAGAATTACAGGATATGTCCTGGAAGCCAAGAAGAAGGGAACTGATCAGTGGTCTCATATTACGACGGTCAAGAACATGGATTTCACTGTGAAGAATCTCAATGAGAATGAGGAGTACATTTTCCGTGTAATGGCTGTCAATCATTCAGGTAGGAGTATTCCAAAGGAGAGCAAACCCATTGTTGTCAAGGATTCTACTTCTTTGCCAGAGTTTGACCTGCGTGGAGTTTGTCACAAGACTGTTATTGCCAAGGCAGGAGATGATATCAAGGTTGAAATTCCAGTTATGGGACGTCCTAGACCAACTGTCTCTTGGCAGAAGGATGGCGCAGCCCTGAAACTCACACAGAGGACCAATGTAGAAACTACTGCTGCTACGGTCATTATCAGCATCAGTGAGTGCACCAGAGCTGACAGTGGTGTATACACCATGACAGGAAAGAACATTGTTGGATCTGTGACAGACAGCATCACTCTGAAAGTTCATGATGTACCTGGTCCACCCAAAGGACCCGTTAAGATTGTGGAAATATCTCGTACTTATTGTATCTTTTCATGGGAAGCTCCTGAGAATGATGGAGGGGTTCCCATCAACAACTATGTCATTGAAATACGAGACACCACTTCTCAAACATGGACTGAGTTGTCGTCTACCATCATCCGCACAATGTTTAAAGCCATCCGGTTAACTACTGGATCAGAGTATCAGTTCAGAATAAAGGCTAAGAACAGATATGGTGTTGGACCTCCTATTACTTCAGAGACAGTGGTGGCTGCCTATCCATTCAAAGTTCCTGGTCCTCCAGGTACTCCTAACGTTGTTGCATTTACCAAAAACTCAATAACAATTGGCTGGAATGAGCCTGTGAATGATGGTGGAAATGAAGTCATTGGCTACCATGTTGAGAGGAAAGAAAGAACCAGCATAATGTGGTATAGGATTAGCAAGGGTCTTGTGAAAGGAAATATCTTTAAATCCTCTGGACTTGAAGATGGAGTTGCTTATGAGTTTCGTGTCATGGCTGAAAACATGGCTGGAATTGGTAAACCCAGCAAGGCCTCAGAACCGATATTGGCCTTGGACCCTGTTGACCCACCAGGTCAGCCTGTGCCAATATCTGTCAACAAGAATGCCATTACTATTCAGTGGACAAAGCCTGAGTATGATGGTGGGTTCAAAATCACCGGCTACATTGTGGAGAAGAGAGAACCTCCTGCTGGTCGCTGGATGAGAGCCAACTTTACCAACATAATTGAAACAACGTTCACTGTTAGTGGACTAACTCAAGATGCCTCATATGAGTTCCGTATCATAGCCAGAAACTCAGCAGGTGCAGTGAGCATACCTTCTGAGCCTTCAGATCCTATTATCTGCAAAGATGACATTATCGAACCACGCATTATGGTAGATGCCATCTTTAGGGATGTTGTTCTACTAAAGGCAGGAGAGTCATTCAAGCTTGAAGCTGATATTGCTGGTCAACCAACACCATCTATGGTTTGGACCAAGAATGGAAAGGAGGTTGAGAATACAATGAAACTGGAAGTTAGGTTCACTGAACTGACAACTACTCTAACCAACAAGGACTCTATAAGGCCAGATGGAGGTGAATTCATTTTGACTGCCACTAATGTTGGTGGATTTGCAAAGCACATTTTTAATGTTAAAGTGCTTGACAGACCAGGACCACCAGTTGGACCTCTTAAGGTAACTGATGTCACAGCTGAGACCTGTGCACTCTCCTGGGCTCCACCTGCAGATGATGGTGGTTCCAAGATTGAAGGATATGTGATTGAGAAGCGTGAATCAAGCAGACTGGTTTGGACCAGTGTTATTTCAGACCTCAAAGATACACAATACAAGGTTACTAAGCTGCTCAAAGGAAACGAATACATTTTCAGGGTAATGGCAGTGAACAAATATGGAATTGGTGAGTCGCTTGAATCACAACCCACTATTGCAGACAACCCATATGTGATTCCAGATCCTCCTGAGAATGCTGAGGTGACAGCTATCACTAAAGATTCAATGGTTGTCATGTGGCAAGCACCTAAGAGTGATGGTGGAACTCCCATCACCACCTACCATATTGAAAGAAAAGATAGAATGGGCCTCCGTTGGGTCAAATGTAACAAGAGGAAAGTCAAAGATCTGCAGTTCAAGGCAACAGGTCTTGTTGTTGGACATGAATATGAATTCAGAATTATTGCTGAGAATGCTGCCGGATTGAGTATACCAAGTGTGTCTAGTCCATTCTACAAGGCCACTGATGGACTATACAAGCCTGAAGCTCCATGCAACCCCAGAATCTTGGATACAACCAAGTCTTCAATTACTGTGGCTTGGAACAAACCTGCATTTGATGGTGGCTGTGAAATCATGGGCTACATTGTAGAAACATGCATCCCATCTGAAAAGAAGGAAGAAGAGGAATGGACCATTGTGACACCCAAGGAAGGTCTTCCTGCTACCTCATTCACCATTGTTAACCTGAAGGAGAATCAAGAGTACAAGATTCACATCTCTGCTGTCAATAGTGAAGGAATTGGAGAGGCAGCATCTGTACCTGGTAATCCAAAGGCAGAGGACAGGCTTCTCCCTCCTGAGATTGATTTGGATGCTGAACTTCGGTCAGTTGTCAGGCTTAGAGCTTGCTGTTCACTTAGACTGTTTGTGCCTATCAGAGGCAGACCACCCCCTCAGGTAAAATGGACCAAAGGAGATGGGGAGCCAGTTGAGAGGGGAATCATTGACAGCACAACATCATACACATCACTGATAATTGAAAATGTCAACCGATTTGACAGTGGAAAGTATAATCTTACTGTTGAGAACAGCTCTGGCTCCAAGACAGTTACAGTACAAGTCAGTGTGCTTGATACACCAAGTGCCCCACAGAATCTGAAAATTACTGCTGTGACAAAGGATGCTGTGACTCTGACTTGGGATCCACCAGTGAATGATGGTGGAGTTAAAATTAAGAATTATGTTGTTGAAAAACGCGAGTCTACAAGAAAAGCATATGCCACAGTCAATGCGCTCTGCTATCAAACCACCTTCACTGTTGACCAGCTCCTGGAAGGATGCAACTATTACTTTAGAGTTTTAGCGGAGAATGAGTATGGCATCGGCTTGCCCATTGAGACTGGTGAATCAGTTAAGGTGTCAGAGAAACCACAGCCTCCTGGCAAAATCACTCTTAAGGATGTTACCAAAAACAGTGTCACTCTCTCCTGGGAGAAGCCAGAGCATGATGGTGGCAGTAGAGTGGGCTGTTATGTTGTTGAGATCCTGCCTAAGGGTGCTGACAAGTGGACCCAAGCACTGATCGTAAAAGAAACAGAAGCTACTATTAGTGGACTAAATGCAGGTGAAGAATATATGTTCCGTGTTGCTGCAAGAAATGAAAAAGGAACAAGTGATCCACGTCAGATTGGAGTTCCTGTGATTGTAAAAGACCTTGTTATTGCACCTGCTGTCAAAATGTTGTTCAACACATTTACTGTGTTGGCAGGAGAAGACTTGAAAGTGGAGGTTCCTTATATTGCACGCCCCAAAGCAACAGTTTCATGGGTAAAGGATGGTCTTCCTCTTAAGAGAACTAGCAGAGTAAACTTTGGTGCTACAGACACAATGCTGAACCTCACTATAAATGAAGCTACTAAAGATGATGTTGGACACTACATTATTACTCTTACCAACACAGCAGGAGAGACTAAAGCAGATATTGGCATTGTTGTTCTTGACAAACCTGGCCAACCAGGTGGTCCAGTTAAGGTAGAGGAAGTCACTTCTGACTGTGTTACCATCTCCTGGAATCCACCAGAGTATGATGGTGGTTGCACCATCAAAAGCTATATTGTAGAAAAGAGAGACACATCTACAACTGCCTGGATGGTTGTATCTTCCAACCTAGCAAGGACCAAAATTAAGGCAGGCAGGCTGAAAACAGATTCTGAGTATCAGTTTAGAATTACTGCAGAAAACAGATATGGAAAAGGCCCAGCTCTTCTATCAGCATGCATTTTGGCTCAATACCCATATAAACTCCCAGGCCCTCCAGGTACACCATCCATTGCAGTCTGCACCAAAGATAGCATGGTGGTCACCTGGAATGAACCTGTCATTGATGGTGGAAGTTCTATCTTGGGCTACCACCTTGAACGTAAAGAGAGGAACAGCATCCTTTGGGTCAAACTAAACAAATCTCTTATTACAGACCAAACCTTTAAGACCACTGGCCTAGAACCAGGAATGGAGTATGAATACAGAGTGTATGCTGAAAACATAGTTGGAACAGGCAAAGCAAGTAAAGTGTCGGAGGGCTATATTGCTAGAGATCCTTGTGATCCACCTGGCACCCCAGAGGCAATAAAGATTACTAAGGACTCAGTGACTATTGTTTGGACCAAACCTGAGTATGATGGTGGTGCAAAGGTTACAGGCTACATTGTGGAAAAGAAGGAGCTTCCAGAGGGTCGTTGGTTGAAGGCTAATTTTACTAATGTAATTGAGACAGAATATTTAGCAAGTGGACTTGTGGAGGGCAATCAATATGAGTTTCGTGTCATTGCCAGAAATGCTGCTGGTGTTTTCAGTATTCCTTCTTACAGCACTGGTCCAATTACTGCCAGAGATGAGATTGAGCCACCGAGCATAAGCATTGACCCAGAGTATACACAGAATATTGTGGTCAGTGCTGGCGACAACTTCAAAATTGATGCAGATGTTCATGGAAAACCACTGCCCTCTATCCACTGGATGAAGGGAGAGCAGGAACTAGGCAACACAATTCACAGGGAAATCAAGAACACACCCACTAAAGCTTTTATATCTGTCAAAGAAGCTAAACTTTCTGATGGAGGGCAATACATTTTGCTACTGAAAAATCCTGGAGGAGAAAAGACTGTACAGCTCAATGTTGTTGTTCTAGATAAACCTGGAGAACCACAAGGGCCTCTTGTTGTCACAGGAATAACCAAAGACAGATGCTGCCTTGCATGGAAACCACCATTGCAGGATGGTGGCAGCAAGATCTGTCACTACATTGTGGAGAGAAGAGAGACAAGCAGACTAATCTGGACTGTAGTTGAACAAAAAGTGGAGAACATTTGTCTAAAAGTTACTAAGCTCCTGGAGGGAAATGAGTACATCTTCAGAGTCCGTGCTGTCAACCAATTTGGAGTAGGCGCACCACTTGAATCTCCTGCTGTCATAATCAAGGATCCATACATGCTACCTGGATCGCCCAAGAACTTAGAAGTTTCAAATATTAAAAAGGATTCAATGGTGCTTACCTGGGAGGCTCCTTCTGAAGATGGTGGCAGTCCTGTAACTGGATACATAATTGAGAAGCATGACAAAGAAGGCGTAAGATGGACTAGGTGCAATAGGCAAACAGTCACTGATTTGAGTTTTAAGGTCAAAGGCCTTTTGGAAAGCCACAATTATGAATTCAGAGTTGCAGCTGAGAATTCTGTTGGAGTTGGTGAGCCAAGCTCCCCAACTGTTTTCTACAAAGCTCTTGATCCTATCTTTAGGCCTGGCCCACCACATAACCCAAGAGTTACAGACACTACAAGAACATCAGTATTCCTGTCATGGGGAAAACCCATTTCTGATGGAGGCTGTGAGATTCAGGGATACATTGTTGAGTGCTGCTCTACTACTGCTGAAGCACCTGCAGCTGAAGGAGCTGCCACAGACACAGTTGTTGAAGAATGGATAATGTGCACACCAGCTACAGGTGTTAAGAAGACTAAGTTTGAAGTTGCAAATCTGAAAGAAAACCAGGCATACAAGTTTAGAGTATGTGCAATCAACAAAGTAGGAGTTGGTGAGCATGCTGATGTCGCTGGAATTGTTGTTGCTAAGGACAGAGCAGATGAGCCAGACCTTGACATTGACCCAGAACTAAGAAAAATTGTTACCATTAAAGCTGGTGCATCCCTAAGACTCTTCATTCCTATCAAAGGCAGGCCCACACCTACTATAAAGTGGGACAAAGATGAAGCTCCCCTTAAAGAGAGTGCTCAGGTGGAGATAACCAGCAGTTATACATTGCTTGTGATTGATAAAATGAGCAGAAATGACAGTGGAAAATACACAGTCTCTGCAGAGAATTCCAGTGGAACCAAATCTGCATTTGTTGTTGTCCGTGTCCTTGACACACCTAGTGCTCCTGTTAATCTTAAAGTGAAAGAAATTACAAACCAATCAGTAACATTGGAATGGGAACCACCTCTGTTGGATGGTGGATCCAAGATCAAAAACTACATTGTTGAAAAAAGAGAAAGCACACGCAAAACATTTGCAGCTGTTGTCACAAATTGTCATGCTCTTTCATGGCAGATCGAACCACTCCAGGAGGGCTGCAGTTACTACTTCCGTGTACTTGCAGAGAATGCTTATGGTGTTGGTCTGCCTGCAGCAACTGTTGATCCTCTTAAGGTCTCAGAAGTGCCCCAGGCTCCAAAGAGTTTAATTGTTACAGATCAGACAAAAACAAGCATCTCTCTGGCCTGGGAGAGGCCAGAATATGATGGTGGTAGCAGGATCATGCAGTACTTGCTTGAGGTGCAGCTGAAGGGTCAAGAGAAATGGTCTGGTGTAAACACTTTTAAGACAATGGAAGCAACAGTCTCCAATTTGAACCCAGGAGAGGAGTATCTTTTCAGAATTACAGCTGTCAATGATAAAGGGAAGAGTGACCCCAAAGTCCTTTCCGGGCCAGTGATGACCAAAAACTTGGTCTTTGAGCCAGATGTCCGTCCAGAATTCAGCAGCTACAGTGTTCATGTGGGCAAAGACATTAACATTGACATTCCTGTCTTTGGACGTCCTAAACCTACCATCACATGGACTAAAGATGGCGCTCCCTTGAAGTTTACTACAAGAGTCAATATTGTCAATACACCAACACATACAACACTAAGCATAAAAGAGGCAGCAGGCGATGATGGTGGTATGTACAGCATAAATGTTGCCAACTCAGCTGGAAAGAAGGACACAACAATTGAAGTCATTGTACTTGACAAACCTGGCCCTCCATGTGGCCCTGTGAGATTCGATGAAATCACAACACAGAGTGTCACTATATCATGGGACCCACCAAAACACAATGGTGGATGCCAAATTTCAAACTACGTTGTACAGAAAAGAGATACGACTACTACAACATGGGAGAATGTTAGTATCAACTGGGCCAGAACCACCATAAAAGTATCTAGACTAAAGACTGGAGCTGAGTACCAGTTCAGGATCATTGCCCAGAACCGTTATGGTAAAAGCCATGGTCTGGATTCATCTGCTGTAGTTGCTCAGTACCCATACAGAGAGCCAGGCCCTCCAGGCACTCCTTTCATCTCTTCTCTCTCTAGGGACCACCAAATTGTTGAGTGGCATGAACCTGTCACAGATGGAGGCAGTCCTGTTCTTGGCTACCATCTTGAAAGGAAAGAGAGGAATAGTATTCTCTGGGTCAAGATCAACAAGACTCTCATCCATGAGACAAGTTTCAAGAGTTACCCCTTGGAGGAGGGTGTTGAATATGAATACAGGGTTTATGCTGAAAATATTGTTGGAATTGGAAGGAGCAGCAAAGTCTCAGAGGGATGTGTTGCCCGTGATCCATGTGATCCTCCTGGAATACCAGAGGCCATCCATGTGACCAAAGACACCATTGTCATTCAGTGGACTAAACCAGAATATGATGGTGGAAGCAATATCACTGGCTATATTGTGGAAAAGCGTGATCTGCCCGAGGGCAGGTGGGTAAAGGCAAATTTTACTAATGTGATTGAGACCCAGTTTACAGTGACTGGTCTGACTGAAAATGCACAGTATGACTTTAGAGTCATTGCTAAAAATGCTGTTGGCACTGTCAGCAAACCATCATATAACAGTGGACCTATAACTGCAAGTGATGCTGTGGAGGCACCAAAATTCTCCATTGATCCTGCATTCACTAAGACCATTATTGTCAATGCTGGAGAGACATTCAAGCTAGATGCTGATGTACGTGGCAAGCCGCTGCCAACAATCCAGTGGTTCAAAGATGACAAACCAGTTGAAAACACACTTCGACTAGAGATCAGAAACACAGAAAACCATGCAATGATTGTCATTAAAGACTCCATTAGAGTTGATGGTGGAACTTATACACTCCAGCTGACAAATGAAGCTGGCAGTGAGACTGTTCCATTTAAGGTTTTGGTACTGGATAAACCTAGCCCATGTGAAGGACCACTCCATGTCACTGGAGTCGCTGAAGATAGATGCACACTGGTATGGCACCCCCCTCTACATGATGGAGGTAGTCCTATTACACATTACATCATTGAAAGAAGGGAGACAAGTCGTCTAGCTTGGACTGTTGTTTCTAGCAACTGTGGCACCACATGCTACAAAGTTACCAAATTACTGGAAGGTGATGAGTATATGTTCCGTGTAATGGCAGTTAATAGTCATGGTGTAAGTGAGCCACTGGAGTCTGGTGCAGTAATAATGAAAACTCCATTTGTTCTCCCTGGTCCACCTCACATTGAGGATGTATCTAACATTGCCCATGATGGTATGACCATCTCTTGGTCTGCCCCTGAGACTGATGGTGGCAGTGAAATTACAAATTACATAATTGAGAAAAAGGATAGAACCGGGATCAAATGGACCAGATGCAACAGACAGAAGGTCACTGATCTCTCATTTAGAGTTACAGGCCTGACCACAGGCCATGAGTATGAATTCAGAGTGGCTGCTGAGAACATAGTTGGAGTGGGAGAGCCAAGCCTTGCAAGTTCATACTACAAGGCCTGTGATCCCAAGTACAAACCTGGAGCCCCAGGATATGTGCATGTGATTGACTCAACAAAGACTTCTATTACTGTGTCATGGGGTAAGCCTCTGTCTGATGGTGGCAGTGTCATTCAAGGATATATTGTTGAAGTCTGCAAGGCTGAAGAGGAAGAATGGACCATGGTCACTCCTCCAACTGGCCTGCGTGTCAACAAATATGAAATTACAAAGCTTACTGAGGGTCAGGAGTACAAGATCCAAGTGTGTGCTCTGAACAAATTGGGAGTTGGTGAGCCGGCAGTTCTCTCTGGAACAGCTAAGCCTGAAGAAAGGGTCGAACCACCTGAGATCCACCTTGACTCTGAGCTGAGGAAGGGCATTGTACTGAAAGCAGGCGGCTCTGTTAGAATCAATATTCCATTTAAGGGCAGACCAACACCTGAGATAAAGTGGACTAAGGATGACGGAAACCTGACTGAAAAACCAGTGGTCGAGAAAGCTCATAATTTCACACAGTTGTCTATTGACTCATGTGACAGAAGTGACTCAGGAAAATACACCCTCACACTGACTAACAGCAGTGGCACCGTGTCTGAGGTTGTTTCAGTTAAAATTCTGGATGCCCCTGGGGCCCCACAGAACCTTGTTGTTAAAGAAATCAGAAAGGACTCTGTCACTCTTGCTTGGGATGCTCCATTGATTGATGGAGGTGCCAAAATCAAGAACTATGTCATTGACAAACGTGAATCAACAAGAAAGGCATATGCAAATGTGTCCACAAAATGCACCAAAACAACATTCAAAGTTGAGAACTTGATTGAAGGTGCTATGTACTACTTTAGGGTCATGGCTGAGAATGAATATGGAATTGGGCCGGCTGTGGAAACAAAGACTGCCTCCAAGGCCTCTGAAGTACCACTGCCTGTTGGAAAGGCCTTCCTCACTGATGTAACTAAGTCCAGTGTCTCACTGGCCTGGGAGAAACCTCAGCAGGATGGAGGGAGCAGAATTGCTGGCTATCTAATTGAGATGCAACCTAAGGGTACAGATAAGTGGGGAGTTGCAACAAATACAAAAACATGTGAAGGTACTGTCACAGGCCTTACAGCTGGAACAGAATACCTATTCCGCATCATTGCTTACAATGAAAAGGGAAAGAGTGAGCCAAAAGCACTTGCTGCACCTGTGATTGCCACTGACATGACCATGGAGCCCAGCATCAAAATTCCATTCAACACTTACAGTGTATTAGCTGGAAAGGATCTAAAGTTAGATTTTCCTGTTCTTGGCAAGCCAAAACCTAAAGTCACCTGGGCCAAGGATGGTCAGCCTTTGAAGGTGACATCAAGAATGAATATAAAATCCACTAAAACAACAACGGGAATAGAAATTACTGAGGCATGCAAGGAGGACTTTGGCAAATACACAATTACAGCAGCCAACACCACTGGAACAACCGCAGAGGATGTATCTGTCATTATCCTCGACAAGCCTGGTCCACCAAAAGGGCCAATCAAGATTGTTGAAGTGAGCAACACCTTTGTCCACCTCTCCTGGGACCCCCCAGAGTACACCGGTGGATGCCAAGTAAAGAATTACATAGTGGAAAAGAGAGACACAACCAGTACAACATGGCAAACAGTCACCACTCAGCTAGCTAGAACAGCTTTTAAGGTCAGCAAGCTGAAGACAGGTTCAGAATATCAGTTCAGAATCATAGCTGAAAATAGATATGGAAAGGGTGCGCCTCTGGATTCCAAGGCCATTGTGGTGCAATATCCATTCAAACCACCGGGTCCTCCAGGAACACCACATGTGAAATCTGCAACTAAAGAAATGATGATCATTGAATGGAATGAGCCAGTCAATGATGGTGGAAGTCCAGTTATTGGCTACCATTTGGAAAGCAAGGAAAGAAGCAGCATTCTATGGAGCAAACTGAACAAGACTCTCATCACAGACACACAATTCAAGATCGTTAACCTCGAGGAGGGTATTGGATATGAATTTAGAGTTTATGCTGAAAATATTGTTGGCATTGGCCGATGTAGTAAAGTATCAGAGTCCTTTGTTGCTCGCGACCCATGTGATCCTCCTGGTACCCCAGAAGCTGTATCTATTTCTAAGAACCAGATCCGGATTCAGTGGACTAAGCCTCAGTATGATGGTGGTAGCAAAGTGAATGGATATATTGTGGAAAGGAAAGACCTCGCCTCTCCTGATGGACGCTGGGTAAGAGCTAACTTTACCAATATAGTTGAGACTGAGTACACTGTCACTGGTCTGACAGAAAATGAGCAATATGAATTTAGAGTTATTGCAAGAAATGCAGCTGGCATCTTTAGCGAGCCATCTGACAGCTCTGGACCTATTACTGCTACTGATGAAATTGAACCACCAAGGGCCTCAATGGATCCTAAATACAAAGATGTTATTGTTGTAAATGCTGGAGAAAATCTGCTTCTGGATGCAGACATCTATGGAAAACCAATTCCTGAGGTGCTCTGGCTGAAAGAGGGCAAGGAAATGGACAAAGCCTTGCGCATTGAAGTGAAAACTACACAGAAACGTGCAGCAATGACGATTAAGGATGTAACCAAGCTTGATAGTGGCCACTATGACCTCACCCTCAAAAATCTGGGTGGTACAAAAGTGTTCCCTATCACAGTTAAAGTCCTTGATAAACCAGGTCCACCCACTGGACCCATGAAGATTACTGGAGTCATGGCCGACAGGTGCATTCTTGCCTGGTCTGAGCCAGTTCTAGATGGCGGAGCCAGTATCACTCACTATGTGCTGGAGAAGAGAGAGACTAGCAGGTTGTCCTGGACCGTGGCTGCATCAGACATCAAGGGTCTGTACCATAAAGCAACAAATTTGCTTCCTGGAGATGAATACATTTTCAGAGTCAGAGCAGTGAACAAATATGGCATTGGTGACTATCTGGAAAGTGAACCCATCATTGCACGCAATCCTTACAAGCCTCCTAGTGCTCCTGGAACTCCAGAAGCCAGTCTGATCACAAAGGACTCTATAGTTTTGTCGTGGACAGCTCCTGAACAGACTGGTGGAGCTGAAATTGAAGGCTACCATCTTGAAAAACGTGACAAAGACAGTGTACGGTGGACAAAATGCAACAGACAAAAGCTTACAGACACTCAGTTTAAAGTCACAGGTCTGATCACAGATCACTTCTATGAGTTCCGTGTTGCTTCTGAGAATGAGGTTGGAATGGGAGATTTCAGTGAGCTGTCCCTGTTCTACAGGGCATGTGATGCCATAAGACCACCTGGGCCTCCGCACCATCCTAAAGTAACAGACTACACAAAGTCCTCTGTCTCTCTGTCTTGGGGCAAACCTGACTTTGATGGCGGTGCTTATATCAAGGGATACATTGTTGAAATGAGGGAGTATACACCGGTACCTGAGTCAACAGAGGAGGCAGAGATAGCACCAGCAGTAGAAGCACCAGTTGAAAAAGAATGGACAATGTTCACTCCACCCAGTGGCATTCAAGCCACCAAATTAACTATAACAGACTTGAAGGAGGGTGGAGAGTACCAGTTCCGTGTCTCTGCAATAAATTCAGAAGGAGTGGGGGAGGCTGCTAATGTCCATGGCACAGTGGTTACTTCTGACAGGGCAGAAGCACCAGAGATAGAACTTGATGCTGAACTCAGAAAGGTTCTATCTGTCCGTGCTGGTGGGACTCTACGCCTCTTTGTCACCATCAGAGGAAGACCTGAGCCTGCTGTAAAATGGGAGAAAGTTGATGGTACCCTTACAGAGCGTGCTGTAATTGATACTACTAGTTCATTCACCATGCTTGTCATTGACAATGTTAATCGCTTTGACAGTGGCAAATACTCACTAACACTAGAAAACAGTAGTGGCAAAAAATCTGCAATTGTTGCAGTGAGAATTTTGGATACACCGAGTGCACCACAAAACTTTACCGTGAAGGAGCTAAAGAAGGATTCAGTGACTCTTGCCTGGGATATTCCACTTACTGATGGTGGCTCTAAAATCACAAACTACATCATAGAGAAGAGAGAGTCTGTGAGGAAGGCCTATGCTGCTGTCACCAGCAACTGTACAGCAAACTCATTTAAGGTAGAAGACCTGCCAGAAGGTGGAATTTTCTACTTCAGAATCTGTGCTGTTAATGAATATGGCCAAGGCCAGATGGTTGAAACCAAAGAAGTAAAGGTTGCTGAGGTACCTTTGCCACCAAGCAAGGTTACCCTTGTAGATTTGACCAAGACTAGTGTGTCACTGGCTTGGGAGAAACCTGCTCATGATGGTGGATGCAAAGTAATGTGCTACAATGTAGAATTTAAGCCTAAGAGTGGGGATAAATGGGGCACAGCATGTACAGTTAAGGTACCGGAAGCAACTATTCCTAATTTAACTCCAAATGAAGCTTATTTATTCAGAGTTGTTGCAATCAATGAGAAGGGGAAGAGTGAGCCAAAGGATCTTGGCTTACCTGTGGTTGCAAAGGATGTTGCTATTGAACCATCTATCAACTTGCTGTTTACCACATACACTGTGAAGGCTGGAGGTGACCTCACTTTTGAGGTTCCAATAAGAGGCAGACCAAAGCCCGCTGTGTCCTGGAAGAAGGATGGCCTTCCTTTGAAGCAAACCACATCAGTTTCTATCTTAAACACTGCAGCCTCATCCAAAATCATTATCAAAGAGGCTAAGAAGGAACATGTTGGGAAGTATGAAATGACTTTGGCAAACACAGCAGGAACTGTTACAGCAGATATCGGAGTCATTGTCCTTGATAAGCCAGGTCCACCTAAAGGAATTAAGGTGGATGCAGTGACTTCAGACAGCATCTCCCTTTCCTGGTCCCCACCAGAATATGATGGTGGCTGCTCCATCAGCAACTACATTGTGGAGAAGAGAGACACAAACACACAGGAATGGCAGATGATAGCAAGTAATGTTGCTAGAACAGCTTTCAAAGCTGGCCGCCTTACACATGGAGCAGAGTATCAGTTTCGTATTTATGCAGTTAACCGCTATGGAAAGAGTAGCTATCTGGATTCACCTGGAATCACTGCTCAGTACAATTTTAAACAGCCCGGACCTCCTTCTACACCCATAGTGAAACTGGCCACCAAGTCTTATATGCTGGTGACTTGGAATGAGCCAGTTAGTGATGGTGGTAGTCCTGTTCTGGGCTACCACCTGGAGAGGAAGGAGCGTTCTAGCATTCTTTGGACAAAGATGAACAGAGGAATGATCAAAGATACAGAGTACAAAGTCACTGGAATTGAAGAGGGCATGATGTATGAATACCGTGTATATGCTGAAAATATTGCCGGTATTGGTAAATGTAGCAAGGCTTGTGAAGCTGTAGCAGCAAGAGATCCATGTGACCCTCCAGGTACACCCATTATCATTGCAATCACCAGAACATCAGTCTCCTTATCTTGGGAAAAACCAGAATATGATGGTGGAGCAAAGGTTTCTGGTTACACAATTGAACGCAGAGACCTTCCAGAAGGACGATGGACAAGGTGCAACTTCACTAATGTACCTGAGACCCATTATGATGTGACAGGCCTTACAGAGAACAGCCAGTATGATTTCCGTGTCATTGCAAAGAATGCAGCTGGACTCTTTAGTATACCATCAGACAATACTGGTCCCATCACTATTAAAGATGATGTGGAGCCACCACGCATCATGATTGATGTGAAGTTCAGAGAGACCGTGTTTGTGAAAGCCGGAGAAACTCTAAAGATTAATGCGGATCTTGCGGGACGTCCTGCTCCTGTCATTTCATGGACCAAGAATGGCAAAGAAATCGAGCTAAGAGCTAGAATTCAAATTGTTTCAACAGACACCAGCACATGTCTCACTATAAAGGATTGTATCAGAAGAGATTCTGGACAGTATGCCCTGACTTTACAAAATATTGGTGGAACAGTTACCATGCCAATAAACTGTGTGATTCTAGACAGGCCAGGACCCTCAGCAGGACCACTTCAGATTACAGGTATCACAGCAGCAGAGTGCACTCTGTCTTGGGGTCCACCTCAGGAATCTGGTGGTGCAGACATCACTCATTATGTTGTTGAAAAACGTGAGACCAGTCGGCTGTCATGGACACTGGTGAAGGCAGATGTCACAAAAACATTCTTTAAAGTCACAGGCCTGCTCAAGGACAATGACTATATCTTTAGGGTTCTTGCTGTTAACAAGCATGGTGTTGGTGAAGCTCTGGAGAGTGATGTTATAAAGGTTACAGATCCATACACCTTTGCCACTGCTCCAGCTAGTGTTGATGTCACTACTATAACTGGAGACTCAATGACCCTCACCTGGTGCAAGCCCGCCAATGATGGAGGCAGTCCCATTACTGGATATGTGATTGAGCGGCGTGAGAAAACAAGCATGCGTTGGGTCCGTGTGAACAGAGATCCAGTTCCTGAATTTACCACAGTAGTAACCAAACTCCGCAAGGGTTGTGAATATGACTTCCGAGTTTATGCTGAAAATGCAGCTGGTTTGAGTCCACCGAGTGAACCATCTGCAACATTCAGAGCAGTAGATCCTCTGGTCGTTCCTTCTCGACCAACCAAGCCAAAGATTGTGAATTCAACCAAAGACAGCGTGTCTATTGTCTGGAAACCACCAACAGATGATGGTGGTGCTCCTATCCTTGGATACAGTGTAGAATACAGAGACTACATCCAGAAACCAGAGGAAGAGGAAGAAGAAGAATATGAGGAGGAAGAGGAGGTACTTGAGTCACCTGAAGAACTAGCAAGATGGGTTGAGGCCATCCCTCTTACAAAGAGCTTAGAATTCACCATCACTGGATTGAAGACAGATGCAGAATATGAATTCTGTGTTAAAGCAATCAATAAAATTGGCAACAGTGTGCATAGTCCATATTCAAATCCATCTGCAGCAAAGGACAGAACTGCAGAACCATCATTTGATGTTGACATTGAGATGCGTAAAGTGCTCTCTGTTAAGCATGGTACAGCATTTACTCTTAATGTGCCATTCAAGGGAAATCCTTTGCCATCAGTGACATGGGCTAAGGAGGGTGTTGATCTGAAAGTCAGAGGAACCATTGAATCAACAGAATCCAGCACTTCATTGACTATTGAGAAGTCAACTAGAAATGACTCTGGAGAATACACTGTCACAATTGAATCACCACTGGGAAAAGCAACATTGCCTGTGGTTGTCAAAGTACTTGACTCTCCAGGACCCCCAATGAATGTTAAAGTATCTTCAGTGACCAGGGATTCTGCAACCCTCACTTGGGATCCTCCAGAGAATGATGGTGGTGATGCAGTAAAGGCCTACCATGTTGAAAAACGTGAGGCCAGTAAGAAAGCCTGGGTGTCTGTGACTGGCAACTGCCACACTCTGACTTACAAGGTGGAAGACCTACAGGAGGGAGCTATCTATTATTTCAGAGTTATTGGAGAAAATGAGTATGGAGTGGGTGTCCCTCAGGACGCTAAGGCTGGGACAAAGATCACAGGTAACATATGCACTGAGTGCTTATATTTGTAAAAGTTTTTTCTTTAAAAACATCATAAATCAATATTATAGACTTGATAAAATTGTCCTGCTGTCTGTTATAGAGGTACCAAGTCCACCTATGAAACTTGGAGTTGCAAATGTTACCAAGGACAGTGTTACTATTGCCTGGACCAGACCAGAATATGATGGCGGAAGCAGAGTCACTGGTTATCTTATTGATGCCCTGGAGAAAGGACAGACCAAATGGGTGAAATGTGCCACTGTGAGGACCATGACTCACACAATCAAGAGCCTTAGGGAAGGTGCTGAGTACTTTTTCAGAGTCCGTGCTGAGAACCATGCTGGACTTAGTGAACCCAAGGAGATGATCGTTCCGGTTATTGTCAAGGAAATACACGGTATTGTTGCTGTCTTTACTTTAAACTTTTCAGATTAGACATATTACATAATGTACATTTCTGACATGCTATGTCTATATATAATTAATCCTAATAATAAATATAATAATCCTAATTTATATAAATGGGCAAGTTTTTAAAAGCTATGGTATTTCCGAAATAATAAACATTATTAATGTTTTACTAAGCTGCCATGTCTTACCACAGTCCTGTGTTATTATCTTTATTTTCCAACAGAGGCTCCAGAGTTTGACCTAAAGAACTACCCCAAGAATACAGTTTATGTAAGAGCAGGATCCAATCTGACCTTTGAGATTCCATTAACTGGCAGGCCCATGCCAAAGGTCACTGTTTCCAAGAACAATATTGTCATTAAGGGATCCAAGAGGCTGCTGACAGAAGTAACTCCAGATAGTTTAATCATCACCCTAAATGAAAGTGTTTCAGTGGATGCTGGCAAATATGAAATCACAGCCTCAAATGCAGGAGGTACTACCAAGATTTTCATTATCTTCGTTGTGCTGGACAGACCTGGACCTCCTGTTGGTCCAGTTCAGATTGGAGAAGTTGGAGAGACCACAGTGTGTCTGAAATGGACTCCTCCAGAGTACGATGGTGGCAGTCCTGTTACGAATTATGTTGTTCTTAAACGTGAAACCAGCACTCCTGCCTGGGTAGAGGTGTCGACTACCATTGCCAGAAGTGAAATCAAGGTGACTAAGCTGACTAAAGGAGAGGAGTACCAGTTCAGAATTAAGGCTGAGAATCGTTATGGTATCAGTGATCATATTGACAGCAAGCCGGTCATGATAAAGCTTCCATACAGTAAGCCACTTTATCCTGTATCTTCAATTCCAATTCTTCTGTTTTATGAACAAGGCATCTTTGTTAATGTATTCTAACAAGAGTGTGTTCTGTAACAGCTGTGCCTGGACCTCCATCCACACCTTGGGTTAGCTATGTATCTAGAGAAAGTCTCACAGTCTGCTGGAATGAGCCAGTAAATGATGGTGGAAACCCTGTGGTTGGATACCATCTCCAGATGAAAGAGAGGACCAGCATCCTTTGGCAGAAAATCAATAAGACCCCAATCCCAGGAGACCAGTGGCGTGTCACAAACATCTGCCCTGGTCTTATCTATGAATTCAAGGTGGCAGCTGAAAATTCTGCTGGTATTGGGAAAATGAGCAAAACATCAGAAGAAGTGCTTGCTATTGATGCCTGTGGTGAGTATTTTAAGTATTTAATTTTTGCAGTTTTATGCCTTAATTATATGAGCTTACAACTGAAAATCTTTGCAGTTACTTTATTAAACTTGGATCTTTCTCACTTTAATAACACAGAACCCCCGGCAAATGTTCATGTCACCGAAGTCACGAAGAACTCGGTCAGTCTGGCCTGGCAGAGGCCTCCATATGATGGTGGCAGTAAGATTACTGGTTACAGTGTAGAAAGGAGGGAGGCACCCAGCGGCAGATGGGTGAAGGCCAACTTTACAAACATCATTGAGATGGGTTTCACTGTATCTGGACTGACCCAGGATGAGTCTTATGAGTTCAGAGTTTATGCTAAGAATGCAGTTGGGTCTGTCAGCAATCCATCTCTCATTGCTGGACCAGTGACTTGTGTTGATGCATGTGGTGAGCATATAATCCAAAATTATATGGACATTTATTAATTACTTGTAATAATTTTATTTATACACTTGTATAAATGTTTCTCATCACAGGTGCCCCAGCTATAGACCTTCCTCCAGAGTATCTGGATGTAGTTCAGTACAAAGCTGGAGCTACAGTTAAGCTCAGAGTAGGAATTATTGCCAAGCCTCTACCAACAATTGAGTGGCTCAAGAATGGAAAGGAGCTGGTAACAACCTCCACTGTGTCTGCTGAAAGCACAACGGACTCTTCTGCTGTTCTGATCAAGGATGCAACTCGCAATGACACAGGTTCATATGAGATCAAGATTAAGAATGTTCTGGGGTCAGCATCTGCAACCATCAGAACTGAAATCCTAGGTATTTATAAGTTATTGATTCTCACATTTCCTTACATCTGAATTCCTAACCAGTTTAAATCCAGACTATAAAGCCTCCATCATCTCATCCATCCATGTTATTTTAATTTTTTATCTTTCCTTAGACAAACCTGGACCCCCAGCTGGCATTATTAACTTCAACTCCATCACAGCAGAAACAATTATGTTCAGCTGGGAACCTGTGCCTGAGTGTGACCAGGGAGGCTCCAAAGTCACCCACTACATTGTTGAAAGACGTGAAACCAGTAGAGTGGTGTGGTCAACAGTTTCTGAAAGGTGTGAACAGACGTACATTGCCATTGGCAAGCTGGTCCGTGGAAATGAGTATGTATTCCGTGTAATGGGTGTTAACAAGTATGGAGTTGGAGAACCACTGGAGTCAGAGCCTGTCATCGCTAAGAATGCCTTTGGTAAGTTTCACTAGAGTGGCATGGAATCCACAGCAGCTATCCTGTGTGTTTCTTCTTCTTTTTAACACATTTTATTTTTATCAGGCTTTTTTGTCATTAACTTCACTGTTATGTGATCTTAACACACCTATTGTCTGTTCTTAAAGTAACTCCTGGGCAGCCTCATACCCCTGAGGTGACCACCATTACAAAGTCCACTATGGTGGTGGAATGGGGGAAACCAGGTGTGGATGGAGGCAGTGCTGTGACAGGCTACTACCTGGAGAGACGAGACAAGAAGAGCTTGCGCTGGATCAGAGTTTATAAAGAACCTGTCACTGACACCAAACAGACAGTTTATCACTTGACAGAAGGAAATGAATACCAGTATCGTGTCTGTGCCATTAACAAGGCCGGAGAGGGACCGTTTTCTGATGCATCAGACTATTATAAGGCTGCTGACCCAGTTGGTAAGTACACTTAGATTCACAGATTTACCACAAAAGTAATGATTACTAATCTACACTCCACTTAACAAATACATGGTACTTACAGATCCACCAGATGAGCCTTGCAAGTTAAAGGTGGTGGACTCTACCAAGACTTCCATCACTTTGGGCTGGTCCAAGCCAGAATGGGATGGAGGAAGTGAGGTCACAAGTTACATGGTGGAAAAGCTTGTGGAGGGAGAAAAAGAATGGGCTATGATTACCTCCAAAGGAGAGGTCAAAACAACAGAATATGTTGTCCACAATTTAAAACCAAATGTCAACTACTTCTTCAGAGTCTCTGCTGTCAATTGTGCTGGTCGCGGAGAGCCTCTGGAGATGACTGAACCAGTGCAGGCTAAGGACATCCTGGGTAAATTCATTACTTATTGAAAATAAAATAAATTGTGTGTTCAGTGTACAGCATGTGTTTCTTGTTTTGTATTCATGTTGCCCACATATAGTTTCCCCTGTATGACCTTCTATATACTCCTTTCCCAGAGGAGGCCCAGATTGACTCTGATGTTGCCATGAGAACTCACTACATTGTGAAGGCCGGCAAGGATGTTGAGCTGTCTGTTCCATTGAAGGGCAGACCTGCGCCCACTGCCTCTTGGAGCAAGGGAGAAGAATGCATTGACCACAATCCCAAATATGAATTCCACCATTCAGACACAAGCACAGTCCTTGTTATGCGTGAGGTGACCAAGCTTGATACTGGAAAATATACAGTAAAGATAGAGAATGGTGTGGGTGAGCCCAAGACAGTGACTCTGTCTGTCAAAGTCCAAGACACCCCAGCTCAGTGCAGGAACCTGGTCCTGAAGGAGGTGACCCGTGGAAAGGTGACTCTCTGCTGGGAGGCCCCACTTCTTGATGGCGGTGCAGAGATTACTAACTATGTTGTGGAGAAGAGAGACTCATCCAAGAGATCATACTCTATGGTGACAAACAAATGCACAGACACAACATACACCATTGAAGATCTTTCTGAAAAGACATCCTTCTTCTTCCGTGTCTTAGCAGAGAATGAGAATGGTATCGGTGATCCATGTGAAACACATGAACCTGTTAAGGCTACAGAAACTCCAGGCCCAGTCAAGGAGGTTTCAATGAAAGATTCATCAAAGACCTCCGTCACTCTCCAGTGGCTTAAGCCAGATTACGATGGTGGTAGTATAATCTCTGACTACATTATTGAGAAGAAGGTCAAGGATGAAGATTGGTCATTAGGAGGAACAAGCAGACAGTGTGAGTTTGAGGTAAAGAAACTGAAGGAGCACTCAAACATGTTCTTTAGAGTTGCTGCCAGGAATGAGAAAGGACATGGAGATTTTGTTGAAATTGGACCTATCAAGGTCATTGACTACATTATTACACCAGAGGCAGACCTTACAGAATATCCACATGGTAGCCTCAGCATTCGCCTGGGTCACAATGTGCACATTGAACTGCCATACAAAGGCAAACCCAGACCTTCTGTTCTTTGGATGAAGGACAACCTGCCGCTTAAAGAGAGTGATCAAGTACGCTTCAAGACAACAGAAAACAAAGCCACCCTAATGATTAAGAATGTGAAGAAGGACAATGAGGGCAAATACACCTTAACTCTTGACAACAAAGTGAACAGAAAATCCTTCCACATCCATGTCATCACACTGGGACCACCATCAAAGCCTGTTGGACCTATCCGACTGGATGAAGTGAGAGCAGAGAGCATTATGATCTCATGGGATGAACCAAATGACTATGGTGGTGGAGACATAACTTGCTACACCGTGGAGAAACGTGATACCTCCCAAAAGGACTGGAAGATGGCCTCCTCCAGTGTACAGGATACTCAATTCAAAGTCACCAACCTTATCAAAGGTGTCCAATACCAGTTTAGAGTGTGTGCTGAAAATAGGTATGGTGTCAGCGAGCCTCTGCTTTCGCAAATGGTTATTGCCAAGCACCAATTCAGACCACCAGGCCCACCAGGCAAGCCGATTGTATACAATGTTACCAACGATGGTATGACCATTCAATGGGAGAAACCTATCTATGATGGTGGCACCCCTATTCAGGGCTATCATGTGGAGAAGAAGGAGAAGAATAGCATTATGTGGCAAAAGGTGAACACTGTGTTGATCAAAGAAACAGATCACAGGATTTTGGAGCTCATTGAAGGCCTTGAATACTCCTTTAGAGTCTATGCACAGAATGATGCTGGGTTTAGCCGAATGAGTGATGAGAGCAAACCAATCATGGCCGTCAGTCCAGTTGGTGAGTATTAATTCAGACCATGACATAAATCCCTTTGTTACACTTGAAAAATACAACATGCTGGAAATTTTGCATGTTTTGTATAAAATCTGACTAAAATTTTGTTGGAATAAAAACACTGTGGCAAAGAGTTAAAAGGTGCATTATGCATTTCAGATCCTCCTGGCCAGCCTGATTACACTGATGTGACTAGTGACTCAGTGTCACTGAAATGGGATGCACCCAAACGTGATGGCGGTAGCAAGATTGTTGGATACAATATCGAGAAACGCCAAGGACATGGACGCTGGTTCAAGGCCAACTTGACTGATGTGCACGACTGTCAGTATACCGTCACTGGATTGGCAACAAATGAACGCTATGAGTTTAGGGTCATTGCCAGAAATGCCATGGGTGTTGTCAGTCCTCCATCCAACTCTTCTGGCATGATTGTTGTCAGAAGTGAAAATGGTGAGTAATAACAGGAAAGAGCTTGGACAGTGTAGTTATTGGGGAAGCATTAAATCAGAGTTTAAAGGGTAAATAGTATAGTTGAAGTCCAATGCTTTTGCTTCCCTTGGTTGCTACCCATGTTTTCCTCAGCTCATTTTTCCAAGAATTACCTCTACATAGCTTACTAAAGCTGCCTGCTGTAAACTAATGCCTTTTTTCCCAAACCAGCTCTTCCAAACATTGAGTTTGGCCCAGAGTACTTTGAAGGTTTGACAGTCAAGGCAGGAGACAGCATCAGGCTAAAGGTGACCATCACTGGACGCCCAGTTCCCAAAGTTGTCTGGTTCCGAGAAGGTGTGGAGATTACAAAAAAGATGATGGACATTATTACAGTTCCTGGATCCAGCACCCTCTTTGTCAGGGATGCTGATCGTTCACACTGTGGGCTCTACACTGTGGAAGCTACCAATGGGTCTGGAACCAAAAAGGAAAAAATCCTTGTTCAAGTCCAAGGTTTGCAATTTTGAAGGTTTTCTGCCTATACTTCAGTATCAATATTTACCATTATATTCATTTGTATTCTAACTTAACTTTCTCACACCTATTTGACACAGATACACCTGGCGAGCCTGTTGGACCAATCACTTTCAGTAACATCTCAGAGGGCAAGTGCAGTCTGTCTTGGAACCCACCAGAGAAAGATGGTTGTTCTGAGATTTCACATTACATCATTGAGAAGCGTGAGACAGCCAAGATTTCGTGGGCATTGGTGTCTGATGAATGTAAGGAGTGCACCTTCCACGCAACCAAGCTCATTAAGACTAATGAGTATCAATTTAGGGTCTCTGCTGTTAACAAGTTTGGAGTTGGCAGACCTCTGGAATCCAGTCCCATCATTGCACAGATGCAATACAGTAAGTTGTCATTTTGGAAGGTTTTAAAAATCAACATATGGAAGTTTTCAAATCTATATTACATTTATTTAGTCATTTCCACTCACTATTAAAATTGTTTCCCCAGCCACTCCTGATGCTCCAGGCACTCCTGATGCAACTGAAGTTACGGGAGAGAGCATCACCTTGTCCTGGACTCCTCCAAAATCTGATGGAGGAAGCCCGATTCATTATTACATCCTGGAAAAACGTGAAAAGAAGACTGTCCGGTTCTACAAGGTGATCACCAAGAAGCCTATTACTGACTGTGCACATAGGGTCATCAACCTGACAGAGGATATGGAATACGAGTTCCGTGTTATGGCTGTAAATGATGCTGGTGTTGGAACTCCTAGCAACATCTCTTTACCCATCAAAGCCGCTGAGCCAAAAGATATTCCTTGCGCTCCATCAGTGGTCTGTGTTTCGGACTCCACCAGTACCTCCATCAGTTTGGAATGGACCAAGCCTGCTGACGATGGAGGCATGGAGATTCTTGGCTACATAATTGAAATGGTGAAGGGAGAAGAGGTGGAATGGAAGAGAGTAAATGAGGAGCTTGTAACTGAAACAAATTATGTGGTGACAGGTCTGCAGACAGGGGCTGAGTACAAATTCCGTGTTGCAGCTGTCAATCATGTGGGTAGAGGTGAAGACAAGGAAATTCCAGAGCCTGCTCAGGCAGTAGATAGGCTAACAGTGCCACAGGTAGATATTGATGCTGCCTTTAAGCAGACACACATTGTCAAAGCGGGAGGTTCAGTGTGCTTGGGCATCCACTTTAGAGGAAAGCCTATTCCTACTGCCACTTGGGTGAAGGAGGAAGGAGAGCTCAGTGTCATGTCAGAGGTAACAACTACTGATGGTTACAGTTCTCTGAGCATTGAAAACTGCTCTAGAAATGATACTGGCAAATATACTGTAAACCTAGAAAATTCCAGTGGCAGCAAGGCTACTACATTTGTTGTAAAAGTCATGGACACTCCTGGACCTCCAGAGGCTGTTGCCTTTATTGAGGTGACCAGAGGCTCAGTCACACTTATGTGGAAATCTCCTCTTAATGATGGCGGAGCCAGAATCCATCACTATATTGTTGAGAGGCGTGAGGCTAGCCGCCGCACTTGGCAGCAGTCCGGTAGCAAATGCACACAGCACTACCTAAAGATACAGGACCTGCTGGAAGGAGTGCCATACTTCTTCAGAGTCTCAGCCGAGAACCAGCACGGTGTGGGTGAGGCATTTGAGCTGACTGAGCCTGTCATTGCCACTGCAGCACCATCAGCTCCAAAGAGACTGGATATCCTCGACACCACCGACAACTCTGTGTCACTAGGCTGGCTGAAACCAGAGCATGATGGCGGTAGTCGCATTCAGTGTTACGTCATTGAAGCTAGGCCAAAAGGTACAGACAAATGGGTAGTTGTTGGCAACACCAAAAATCTGACCTATGCTGTTGAAAAGCTCAACAAGGGTGATGAATATGACTTCTGTGTGAAGGCTAAGAATGAAGCTGGTTATAGCAAGCCCAAGGAAACTCTGGCTCCTGTGCTGGTCAAAGAGCCTCACATTGAACCTGCTGCTGACCTCAGTGAAATCACCAACCAGCTCATCACATGCAGGTCTGGAAGCACTTTCACCATCGATGTTCCAGTCAGTGGCAGACCTGCTCCTAAGGCCACCTGGAAGTTGGAAGAAATGAGACTGAAAAACACAGACAGAGTCTCAATCAAAGTTTCTAAGGACAGAACCAGTATCTCAGTTAAGGAGGCCATGAGAGGAGATGGTGGGAAATACCATCTGACTCTGGAGAATGTGTCAGGAACCAGAACGTTTACTATTGAAGTTAATGTCACAGGCAGACCCAGTCCTCCAAGTGGACCAATAGAAATCTCATCAATTACTTCTGAGTCCTGTGTTGTTAACTGGCATCCACCAGAAGATGATGGTGGCACTGACATCACCAACTACATCGTAGAGAAGCGTGAATCTGGCTCAACAGCCTGGCAGCTCATCAACTCCAGCGTGAAGCGCACCTCTCTCCACGTCAGTAACCTGACCAAATACATGCAGTACACATTCAGGGTCTCTGCAGAAAACAGATTTGGTGTCAGCAAGTCCACTGAGTCTGAGACTATTGTCGCTGAGCATCCTTACAGTAAGTGCTACTCTATAATGTTACTTTTGAGCTTATGAATTTATAATATTCATTTCCATCCTATTCCATAAGATTCTTATGTTGAACTTGAATAAAACAGCAATATCCAATTTCTGATCACAGCACCTGCAGGTCCACCGACAAAGCCTATAATCTTTAATGTCACTGCTAATACAATGACACTGCAATGGGAGGAGCCCTACCATGATGGTGGAAGCAAGGTGACTGGTTACTGGATTGAGAAGAAGGAAAGGAACAATATCCTGTGGGTGAGGGAGAACAAGATCCCTTGCTTTGAGTGCTCTTACAAGGTGGAAGGTCTGGTGGAAGGCCTGGAATATCAGTTCAGGGTTTATGCCATGAACAGTGCTGGACTGAGCAAAGCTAGTGAGGCCTCAAAGGGAGCAGTTGCTCAAAACCCTGTTGGTGAGTTTAGTATCACACCATGGAGAGTTACTAAATTAATATGTTTTTAAACAAAAATGTCTGACAAACATTGTTGATTTGTTGTTTAGATCCACCGGGTAAGCCTGAAGTCACCAACGTAACAAGGACCACAGTATCCCTGAAGTGGTCGTCTCCACTGTATGACGGTGGCAGTCCAATTGTGGGCTACATCATTGAACGCAAGCCATACACGTTGACTGGCGAGGGCCGCTGGCTGAAGTGTAACTACACCAACGTGACTGACAACTTCTATACTGTTACTGCGCTGGGAGAGGGAGAGCCCTACGAGTTCAGGGTTATTGCCAAGAATGCCAACCAGGTCTTCAGCAGACCCTCTGAGTCCACCGGCTCCGTGCAGTGCAAAACTGACTTTGGTAAGATTTGAGACCATGACACAGTTTCATCAACATGCCACAAAATAAATTCACAGTAAAATGAAACTTGTGTTTTCTGCTAAATCAGTGTAAGCAATCAAACCGAGTCCCCAAAAGTTGATTCTGTTCATCTGGACGTTTTCAGTGGGAGAAACATTTTGTCACTCATCCAGGTGACTTCTTCAGTCTCAGCTGACTGCAGGTTTCCCCAATCTTATAAACAGTACTCAAACAGTATTTGACTCAGTGGTGCTAGTTTCAGCCATTATGCAAATGTACTGTTTATAAGACAAAACGTTTCTCCCACTGAAAACGTCCAGATGAACAGAATCAACTTTTGGGGATTTACTTACCTGGATAATTCAGCATGCATCAAGACAACCAAACCAAGACCAAAATATTTTCAAGACATGTCAATTCAGTTTAAACAAAGTTTCAAAACCCTGTACTTCATAACCACTTGACAGAGCCTCCAAAGGCCCAGCTTGACAGCAAGCTGCTCTCTGAAACTGTGATGGTCCGGGCTGGTTCAGACCTGGTTCTGGATGCTGCAGTGGGTGGAAGACCTGATCCTAAGGCTTCTTGGTCCAAGGGTAGCAGAGAGCTGGACTTATGTGAAAAGTACCACTTGCAGTATACCCCGACTAGAGCCATGGCCATCATCAAATTCTGTGACAGAGATGACACTGGAAAATACATCCTCACAGTCAGGAACGTAAGTGGAACCAAAACTGCAGAGGTCAATGTCAAAGTGCTTGGTGAGTGGCTTTTTATTTTTAACCATTTATTTTAATGCATTCACAAATTACACTGGACGTGTTAATTTTGAACATCCTAGCATCTAAGCATTCGTACATCTGGCTTTCTTTCAGACACACCTGGAGTTTGTGAGGGCAGCATTGAGATCAGTAAGATAACAGAGGAATCCTGCACTCTGAGCTGGAAGCCTCCTCTTGAAGATGGTGGTGATGACGTCTCTCACTACATTGTGGAGAGGCGTGACACAAACAGACTTAACTGGGTAATAATGCATGCCGAATGCAAGGAACTGACCTGCAACATCACCGGGCTGATGAAAAACACAGAGTACCTGTTCAGGGTGCGGGGAGTCAACAAGTACGGTCCTGGAGTCTATCTCCAGTCAGAGCCCATGGTCGCCAGAAACACCTTTAGTAAGTATAACAGCCACATCCTTATGAAACAATACCTAGTTAGTTACTGACATCATCGTACAATCCGAGCGCTGCTTTTTTAAATGTTACACAAAAAACTACAAGAGAAACCCACAAGTACTGGTAGTAGGTCACATACAGAAGACATTACATTTTTACAAGTATTCACAATACCTTACTTTTAATCTACAACACCAATACACATTCATTTCAAGTTTTCAATCAGACTGGTGATCGGTAACCAGATTTTCTTTGTTTGACAAAGACTATCTGTAATACATTTCCTAATTCCTTCACCCACATTAGGTCTGTTTCAGATTTCCAGGATTGAACAGTGTGGGTCAGAAAATGCCCTGGCATCAGAAAGTGTGAGATACAGATGCTGTTAAACATTTGGCAAACAAGGCGAGAAGTAATTTAATCTCATATAGTGGGAAAAATACAGTCTGTGAACACTGAATTACATTAGAGTATGCTGACCATTCAAGGTGATAGTTTTGGTATTTTTCCAACTTTTATTCACACTTCACCTCCCAGTCTACCCAGAATATATCTGAAAATGCTCCATTCAAGTTTTGCTGGATGGTGTGAAGTTAAAAACCCAGCTTCTTAAAGAAGGACAGTAAATGTCCCGAGAGTTTCAGGAGCTGTGTGATGTTTTTGCTGTGCAGTGGAGTCCTAAACAACTATGCCTATGTTGTAACAGGGTGCAGGCTTAAATGTCCACTGTAGTTGTTGGAAAGCACTGAGGAATGCTGAACTGATAACTGAAAAATGTTGAGATACTAGATAGTGCAATCATTTTTATGGTATTAATGCATCCCACCACTGAAAGAGGCAAGTCTGTTTCATTTTCCTGTCCCAGAAGTATTTCTTTTTTCTTATGCTAAACAAAAGTAAATGGAGATACAGAAGCTGTCAGGTTTGTGCTCCATATAATCAAAAGGTTTTTGATGTATTTTGATTTGCAACAATAGTTACTCTAGATTCTTTGTAAATTAACTCTGCATCACCTGTCATCTCTCCTGCAGCTGTGCCATCTCCTCCTGGTGCTCCAGAGATCCTGGCATCAGGAAAGGACTTTGCCACCATTGAGTGGCTGAAACCAGAGAGCGATGGAGGTAGCCCATTAATCCATTACTTAGTTGAGAGACATGAGAGAAAGAGTGCTCGCTGGGTGAAGGTGAATAGGGATGGTGCTCACTTAGACACCATGCTGAAGGTGTCCAGTTTGACTGAAGGCAACATCTACCAGTTCAGAGTGACGGCCATCAACAAGGCTGGAGAAAGTGAGCCCAGCGAGGTTTCTCTATATGTTGTCTGCAGAGTGCCAACATGTAAGTCGAGTTTGTTCAGTAACAAAAACTTCCACATTTTTATCCATTTATATTTAATTATCAGTGAATGCTTCATGATATCTCTACTATATCTTTTTATGATGTTCCTTCAGGTACACCTGCTCCTCCTTCTATTCCTCGTATCACTGACACACACGCTGACAGCATCAGCCTGGCCTGGTCCCGACCCGTAGAGGATGGAGGAGCTGATGTGATTGGCTATATTCTAGAGATGAAGGAAGTGGGAGCAGAAGAATGGAAGAAGGCCCATGAAAAGACCCTGCGTACCACAGAGTATGTAGTAACTGGACTTTCGGCAGGCAAGAAGTACTGCTTCAGAGTGGCCGGCATTAACATTAATGGTACAGGAGACTTCAGTGACCCATGTGCTGAGACCGAGCCAGTGGAGAGAATTGGTAAGTAAAACTTTCGAAGAGCATAAACTTAAATGCATTTGCATTTGATTTTGTTGTGGCATTTCTTCTTCCACTACAGTTTATTTGCAAGTCTTTCCAGATATGGTAACTTTGACATTACTTTATCACCAAGATTACAAACCTGTCATTGTCACCTCACACAGAAACTCCTGACTTCGAGCTCCACGATGACCTTAAGAAGACTATCTGCTTGCGGGCCAGTGGCTCCCTTCGCTTATTTGTTCGTGTCACTGGTCGTCCTGCTCCTACAATAACGTGGAGCAAGCCTGGTGTTGACCTCCACAACAGAGGCTTCATTGAGGTCACCAGCACTTCCACCACTCTCATTATTGACAAAGTCAACCGCTACGATGCTGGCAGGTACACTCTGGTGGCGGAGAACTCTGCCGGGAAACAGGAAGTCAGCATTTTGGTCAAGGTTTATGGTAGGTTGAATGGATTTTTTTTTTAAATGTGTTACAGAAACTTTTATGAACTGGCCTTTTGACTAAAATATGTGCTTTTTTTAGATACTCCTGGACCAACTGGGCCAATCAAAATGAAGGAACTGACCAAGGAGTCTGCAACCATCTCTTGGGATGCTCCAACTGTGGATGGCGGTGCTCCTGTCAACAACTACATCATTGAGAGGCGTGAAGCGTCCATGAGAGCCTACAAGACAGTCACAGCCAAGTGCAGTAAAACATCTTACAAGATCGATGGCCTGATGGAGGGCATGATGTATTATTTCCGTGTTCTCCCTGAGAACATCTATGGTATTGGAGAGCCTTGTGAGACACCAGATGTCATCCTGGTTTGCGAGGTGCCTCTGCCACCACAAAAATTGGAAGTGATCGATGTCACCAAGAGCACTGTCACCCTGGGCTGGGAGAAACCGGAACACGATGGTGGCAGCAGACTGATAGGTTATGTCATTGAAGCCTGCAAGTTTGGTACCGACAAATGGATGAAGGTGGCTACATTGAAGCTCACAGACTTTGAGCACACCATTGAGAAGCTGAATGAGAAGGAGCAGTACTTGTTCAGAATCAGAGCCATCAACAGCCGAGGAGCCAGTGAACCCAAAGAACTTGTTGCAGCTGTCACTGTACAGGAACAGAGAGGTAACAAACAAAACCAACTTGTGCTACTTGCAGTTAAAAATGTTTTTACAGCTTAAGGCAAAGCAAAATTGACAAAAACTCACAAAGTTGTTGTTCAGTTCACACTTTTTCCTAACTATATTTTAATCTCTCCCTTCCAGTAATGCCAGTAGTGGACTTCTCTGGTATTCCTCAGAAGGTTGTCAATGTGCTGGCTGGCAAGACCCTGGATCTGGACCTGCCTGTCATCGGCAGACCTCCTCCTGTTTGCTCCTGGTACTTTGGTGACAACAAGATAAAAATCACAGACCGTGTCAAGATCAAGAGTACTGGCAAGTTCACCAAACTGACGATGTCTGACACCACCATCGATGACACTGGTGACTACACACTGGAGGTGAAGAATGCTGTTGGTGTCATCACTGAGTTCATCAAAGTCGTCATTCTCTGTAAGAATCCAACCCTGATTTAGTATTGCTTATATTTTTGCTACCAAGTCAAGTTTAGCTATTTCTGTATTGGCAATGGTATAGGTAATATTAACATTTAGCTTTACGTACATTCAGGTGAGTGTAACGTTTAATTTTATGAAACTTTATTTACTAGCTAAACCTGATGAGCCAAAGGGACCCATCAGGTTTGACGAGATTGATGCCACCACCGTCACTTGCAGTTGGGATCCTCCAATCAGAGATGGTGGAGCTCCCATCAGTGGCTATGTGGTGGAGCAGCGTGATGCCCACAGACCTGGTTGGGTGCCTGTCTCTGACTCTGTCAGCCGACCAATGTTTAAATTTGATAACCTGATCGAGGGAGATGAGTATGTCTTCCGTGCAGCTGCTGTGAATCGTTACGGCACTGGAGAATTCCTGCAGTCTGAGATTGTCACCTGCAGAAGCATGAAGAGTAAGACCGCTATCATTCCTTTAAATATTATATTTGGTTGATACATATGATGGTAACAGTGGTAACATGTTTTCCCTTCCCTCGTCAGATGTTCCTGGACCACCTGGCCGTCCAGTTGTTTTCGATGTTTCTCGTGATGGTATGACTGTGGCTTGGGAGCCGCCAGATGAGGATGGTGGCCTTGAAGTTTCTGGTTACATCATTGAACGGAAAGAAGTCAGGGCTGATAGATGGGTGCGTGCTAACAAGAACCCTGTAACCATGACTAGATACCGGTCTACTGAGCTGATCGAGGGTCTTGAGTACGAACACAGAATCACTGCCATCAATGCCAGAGGACTTAGCAAGCCAAGTCTGCCATCTAAACCAGCAGTGGCAACAGATCCCATTGGTAAGACAACATTTTGATATAAATCTAGAATTTTAGACATATGTATGTGACATGACTCTTGACATTGAAAGTCACAAAAGAGCAACAGACTACATACTGATATTGTTCTGTTCCCCAACCAGATCCACCTGGCTGTCCTCAGAATCCAAGGATCACTGATACCACAAAGTCCTCTGTGTCACTGGCTTGGAGTCCTCCTGATGATGAGGGAGACGCTAGGGTAGATGGTTACCTGATTGAGATGCAGAAGGTGGGCACTATGGCCTGGATCAAATGCAACACCACACCATCTCTAATTTGTGAGTACACACTGACCAACATGCCACAAGGAGAGCAGTTCAAATTCCGTGTGATGGCCTGCAATGCTGGTGGCTCTGGAGAGCCCGCTGAAGTGCCTGGAACAGTTACTGTGACTGAGATGCTTGGTAAGAACAAACAAACTTTCTCCAAGATGATGTGTGTACAGCTAAAACTAGTACAGAATGGACCTAACTTTTGGTATCAATATTTTCCAGAATCTCCTGAATATGACCTGGAGCTGAAATACAAAGATCTGTACGTGGTCCGCTACGGAGGAGTGCTTAGATTATCTGTACCCATTAAAGGTAAACCTCAGCCAACCTGCAAGTGGTCAAAGGATGGCGGTTTAGTGTCTGCCAGGGCTATGATTGCCTCCACTGAAGATGCCAGTGAGCTTGTAATCAAGGGAGCTGAGAGGAGTGACTCTGGTGTCTATGATCTCCTGCTGGAGAATAAGGTTGGCAAGAAGAAAGTCCAAATCAAGGTGAAGGTCATTGGCAGGCCAAGTGCTCCAGAGGGACCAATAGTCTTTGAGGAGATTCAGGCCAACTCTGTCAGGCTCTCCTGGAAGGCACCTATTGATGACGGTGGCTCAGAAATCCTTGGTTATATTGTGGAAAGACGTGAGGCAACCAGAAATGCCTGGTATACTGTAGACTGTAGAGTGACTGAAACTCAGTTGCTTGTTAAGGGCCTGAAGGAGGGAAAAGAGTATCACTTCAAGGTCACAGCTGAAAACTCATTTGGTATCAGTGCATCCCTGAAGTCTGAACAGCCAATGGTACCCATGACTCCTCTCTGTAAGTATTCCTTGTTTTGTTTTTTGTTTTGTTTTTTCAAACCCTTCAGGCTTGTATTCAGAAACAATTTAAAAATTCCCCATCTTTCAAATCAGGTTCCCCTGAGCCTTCAACTACCCCACCAGAGATTATGGATGTCACCAAGAGCTCAGTGGCACTTGCATGGTCCAGACCAAAGGATGATGGAGGATCTGCTATCACTGGTTACTTTGTTGAGTACAAGGTGGTGTCTGCTGAAACATGGTCCCGTCATGAGGCCAAGATAACCTCCACCATGTTTACTCTACCTGGACTCACCCCAGATACGGACTACCAGTTCCGCATTGTTGCTGTCAATGACATAGGCGAGAGTGAGGCAGGTCCTGTGTCGGACCCAGTCACATGCAAAGATCCATTCGGTGAGTCTCATGTCCTTAAAAGGTTTTGTTAGGTTTAGGGTTTGATTCTGCCACATGCAAATTTTCAGAAACTAGAAGTGGGTAACTTTCATCTGGAATTTCACACATTTTGGCATTACATTTTTTTGTGAAACCTTTTGCATTTAGGTATTCCCAATAAGCACACATTTTAGAAACATGAGGGGGCCTTAAACTAACATAAACCCTACCACTAACCCGTGATTGGTCTTTGGCAACCAATGTTAGAAGTGAAATGCACTAGGTCGCTGAGGGATTTTAAACAGATGTGTTTAAATTACATTACATTACAATCTTATGTAATCTTATGTAATCAGTGTAATGAGTTGCAGTTGTACAATCGATTACTTGATCTTGTCAGTCTATTGAAGTAGGTAGGTAGGCTGAGAGTGCAGACCCTCTCTCGCTGTGTTTTAAAAAGAGAAAAAACATTAAATAGGCTCACCCTTTTCTCTCCTTTCAGACAAGCCCAGTCAACCAGGTGAAATTGACACAGTGAACGTGAGTAACAACTTCATCACAATCCGCTGGCAAGCTCCGGAGTGTGATGGTGGAAAGGAGGTCCTGGGCTATTGGGTGGAATACAGGAAGTCCACAGAGAGCACCTGGAAAAAGTGTAACAAGGAGAGACTTAAGGAAAAGGAGTTCACGGCACGTGGACTAGCTGAGGCCACAGAATATGAATTCAGGGTGTTTGCTGAGAATGAGACGGGAATGAGCAGGCCTCGTAGGACTGCCACATGTATCAAAACCAAGCTGACTTGTGAGTACCTCAGAATATATTTATTATTAAATTTATATTTATTTACAGGGATAATACCTAGAAACATTCCTATCTGGCAACTAGTGATATACCACTATATACAACGTATGCACACTGGTACAGACCATATCCATGGGTATGGTTATAAGTTATAATGTTATAATTCAATACAATACTATTACAAAAAAAAATAAACAGTATGAAAAAGACATATTTAGACGGACTTACCATATATAGAGTATGCTCTTTGTTTTTTTATAAATATGCTTCTTTGTTTTGTATTTCCAGCTGAAACTAAACCAAGCCTGAGAAAAGAAATGGATGAAGTAACTGCCAAACTTGGCCAGCCTGCAGTTATGAAGTGCCAGATTATTGGAAGACCTGTTCCTGAAATAAAGTGGTATCATGCAGGCAAGGAAATTATCGAGTCTCGCAAGTACGAGATGAGCTCTGACGGCCGCAACCACTCCCTGTCAATTATGACTGACCAGCAGGAAGATGAAGGCGAATACACCTGCAAGGCCATCAATGACGCTGGAGAAGCAGAGACCACAGGCATGTTGGTTTTGGAGGCGGCGCCATCATTCCACCCTGACTACCCACTGAAGGAAGTCCATTTTGCTGGCCTTGGAACTACTCTGCGTATCCATGCTGTTTACATTGGCCGTCCTGAGCCAAAGATCATGTGGCTGCATGGGGCAAAGACTCTGGAAAACACAGAAGACATAAGCATTGAGACCACTGAGCACTACACACATCTGGTCATCAAGAACGTGCAGCGCAGAGTCCATGGAGGCAAATACAGAATAAGACTGCACAACCACTTTGGCCGAGCTGACACCGCATTCAGTGTTGAAATCTACGGTATGTTCTATGTTAATTACCTCCAGAAATTCAATTCAGTTTTATTCACACAGCACCAAATCACAACAACAGTCGCCTCAAGGTGCTTTATATTGTAGGGTAGACCCTACAATAATACATACATAGAAAAACCCAACAATTGTATGACCCCCTACAAGCAAGCACTTTGGCGACAGTGGGAAGGAAAGTGCAGCAATGCATACATTTGTAAGCATGAAACTATCCAATTTGTAAATATATCATACCTCTATTCCTAGACAAACCTGATATACCTCAGGGTCCCATTGTTCTGGATGCCCTGCTGAAGAACTCAGTGATCATCAGCTGGAAGCCTCCCAAAGATGACGGTGGCTGCATGATTACAAACTATATTGTGGAGAAGCGTGAGGACAGGGAGGGCTCAGAGTGGGAACTGGTGTCGTCATCCATCAATGGCACATCCTGCCGTGTGCCCAACCTCATCGAGAGTGCTGGATACTTCTTCCGGGTCTATGCCCAGAATCGCTATGGCAACAGCGAGCCACTGGAGCTAACTTGCCCGATCCTCATCAAGAGTCAGCTGGGTATGTTTAATAAAAGGCAATATTTCACAATGGGTCATATATACAGAGATGCGAAATACTGACAGTGGTTTCATAAATATATATTCCTTTCACAGAGAGACCATCGCCACCTCTATCACCAGTTGTTTCTGGAATTACTAAGGATTCCTGCGTGGTTTCCTGGAAACCTCCTCTCAGTGATGGTGGATCCAAGATCAAGAGCTACTACCTGGAGAAGAAGAACAAAAAGGACAAGCGGGAATGGACTGAATGGACTCCAGTGACCACAGATGAAATCAAACAAACAGTCTTTTCTGTGAAGCGCCTGACCGAGGGTGTTGACTACATCTTCCGTGTCAAATGCGAGAATCTTGGAGGGCAAAGTGACTATAGCGAGGAGACCACTCCCATCATTCCAGCCGCAGCTGTCGAGATCCGTGCTCCTGCCTTTAAGGAGGAGCTGAGGAACATGAGTGTCAAGTACAAGAGCAATGCTACCCTTGTCTGTAAGATTACAGGACAGCCCAAGCCTGTAATTAAATGGTTCAGACGAGGAAAAGAGGTCCATTCTGATGGAAAGAAGATCAAGATCCAGGAGTTTAAGGGAGGTTACCACCAGCTGGTCATCACAGAGGCTGACGAGGAAGACTCCACTGTTTACCAAATTAGGGCCACCAACCAGGGAGGCTCCATCTGTGCCACTGTCTCTCTGGATGTTGAAGGTAAGCTCCCAAATGCTATCTTACACAAAAAAAATAACTATGAAATGTAAAAAACAAAAAACTATGTAATTATAAGAGCTATTTAGATTCATATATATCATGAAATCTCAAACAACTTTTTCCTGATTTCTAGTTCCTGCCAAGATCAACCTGCCAAAGAATCTGAAGGACAAGGAAGCCATCCCTGCCCTGCGTGGAGAGGTGGTTAATATCAAGATTCCTTTCAGTGGAAAACCAGATCCTGTCATCACATGGCAAAAAGGACAAGATCTAATTGACAGCAATGGACACTACCAGGTCATTGTCACCAGATCATTCACTTCTTTGGTGTTTCCCAATGGAGTGGAGAAGAAGGACGCTGGTTTTTACATCGTCTGTGCCAAGAACAGATTTGGCATTGACCAGCAAACAGTTGAGCTGGATGTAGCTGATGTGCCTGATCCTCCACGTGGTGTCAAAGCCAGTGATGTTTCGAGAGACTCTGTGACACTGAACTGGGTGGCACCAGCAAATGATGGTGGCAGTAAGGTCATCAGCTATATCATTGAGAAGTGCCCCACCACAGCTGAGAGGTGGCAGCGTGTTGCCCAGTCCCGTGACACCCATTACACAGTTACCAATCTGTTTGGCGGAACGAGCTATCAGTTCAGAATTATTGCTGAAAACAAGTTTGGACAGAGTGCCCCATCTGAGTCAAGCGGACCTGTCATGACAAAAGAGGACAAATCCCGAGTTCTGCTCTATGACAGGGAGGTTGATGATACAGGATATGTCCCCAGGAGCAAGGCTCCACACTCTGATGCCAAGAATCTGCACAACAAATTTGCCATTGCAGAGGAATTGGGCAGAGGGCAGTTCGGCATTGTCCACCGCTGTGTTGAAATTAGCTCTGAAAAGACTTACATGGCTAAATTTGTCAAAGTGAGAGGTGCTGATCAGACATTAGTAAAGAAAGAAATTGCAACACTGAATTTGGCCAGACATGCCAATTACCTTCTCCTCCACGAGTCCTTCGACAGCCCGGAGGAGCTGGTGATGATCTATGATTTCATCTCAGGTGTTGACATATTTGAGCGCCTCAGTATAGCAGAGTTTGAACTTAATGAGCGTGAAATTGTTAACTACATCAGGCAAGTCTGCTCAGCTCTTGAGTTCCTTCACACTCAGAGTTATGGACACTTTGATATCAGACCTGAGAATATTATATACACTACTAGAACCAGCTCGAATGTGAAGATTATTGAGCTGGGACAGTCCAGACACCTGACTCCTGGAGACCAAATCAAGATTCAATATACCACAGCAGAGTATGCTGCCCCTGAGATCCACCAGTGTGACATGGTTAGCACAGTCACTGACATGTGGTCAGTTGGTGTTCTCGCCTATGTGCTTCTCAGTGGCCTTAATCCATTCACAGCTGAAACCAACCAACAGACGATCGACAACATTTCCAGTGCAGCCTACAGCTATGATGATGAATCCTTCAAGCAAGTCAGTGTCGAAGCACTAGATTTCACAGACCGCTTAATGACAAAGGAGCGTAAGCATCGGATGACTGCAGCTGAGGCACTGGCACATCCTTGGCTCACCAAACCTGCAGAGGAGATCAGTGCCAGAGCAATCCCAACTGGCAGGCACAAGAGATACTGCCAGACAATGGTGAAGAAAGAGTGGAACACTGTTGTCTCTGGTGCCCGTGTGGCTAGCGGGGGTTCCATTAGGTCTCAGCGTGGCGTCTTTGTTGCTAAGGTGAAAATTGCACCATTTGAACATGGTCCTCTTGCAGGGCAGATTGGCCACGCAGTGGTGAATGAGGGTGACAACGTGAAGTTCATTTGCAACATTGACAACTATGATAGCACTACTGAAGTAACATGGTACTGTGGTGTCAAGCAACTTGAAGCTAGTGACAAGTATGAAATTGAATATGAAGATGGTCTGGCAGTAATCACCATCAATAAGCTCACAAGAGCGGATGATGGCACGTACAGATGCAAGGTTGTAAATGAGTATGGTGAGGACAGTGCCTATGCGGAGCTGTTTATCAGCAGTGTTAGGTCTTACCGCGATTTCTTCACTGCCCGTGTGGTTAAGAGAACAAAGCGCAGAGTAGATACTGCCAGAATGCTTCAGAAGCCACCAGAGTTTACACTTCCTCTGGTCAACCATACAGCTTATATGGGTGAGGATGTGCGCTTTGGTGTTACCATTACTGTGCACCCTGAACCTCGTGTCATCTGGCACAAATCTGGACAAAAGCTTATCCCTGGACATGATGACAAGAAATACACTTTCATCAGTGACAAGGGCTTGTACCAGCTGATTATCCACAATGTGGAGACCGAAGATGATGCAGAGTACAGTGTTGTGGCCCGTAACAGGTATGGGGATGACAGCTGCAAGGCTCGTCTCACTGTTGTTCCTCGACCTAAACCAGCAGATCTCACCCTGAGGCCCATGTTTAAACGTGTGCTTGCAAATATCGATTGTAAGGAGGGCCAGAACATACGTTTCGAGATCAGAGTATCTGGTCGTCCATCACTGAAATGGGAGAAGGATGGCACGCCTTTAGCCTTTGGACCATCCATCGAGGTTGTCCATGAGGGCCTGGATTATTACATTCTTCATGTGAAGGACACTCTTCCTGAGGATTCTGGTGTGTACAGAGTTACTGCTACCAACTCTGCTGGATCCGCCAGTTGCCAGGCCACACTGAAAGTGGAGCGCACCACTCATGTAAAGAAGGAATATGAGCCTAGTGAAAAGGAGAAGCAAAAGATTGCCGGAAAGGAAGAATTAGACAAAAAAGTTAGGCTCTCTCAGATTTTGGCTGGCACTGTTGTCACCCCTCTACCACCTGCAGCAGTAGAAGCTGTCAGGGAAGCCGCCACCATGTTTAAACCTGCTGTTACAACTAAGAAGGGTGAGAAGACTGAAGCTGAGATACAGAAAGAGCAAGAGGAGAGGAAGAAGAGAGCAGATGAGAAGAGACTGCGTATGCCCTATGTTGTCCCCACACCTCGTATCGTTAACCCAGCTGTTCTTGAAGAAGATGTAGAAATAAAACACTTCAAACCTCTTTCTGACATGAAATGGTATAAGAAATTGCGGGATCAGTATGAATTCCCTGAGCCAATGGAGAAAATCCCACAGAAAAGGATGAAGCGTATCCGTCTGTCCCGGTGGGAGCAGTTCTATGAGGTACCAATCAGGATTAAGGACCAATATAAGCCAAAGTGGCGCTTTTCATCTATGACTCAGGATGACTTGGAGACTGTGAGGCCAGCAAGGCATCGCACTCCTTCTCCTGAGATGGAGACCTACCACAGAATCAGGAGGAGGTCTCTAGGTGACCTGTCAGATGAGGAGCTGCTGCTTCCTGTGAATGAGTATCTGTCCATGAAGAGAACTGAGGAGGAGAGGCTTCGTCTGGAGGAAGAACTGGAGCTTGGCTACTCCGCTTCTCCACCTAGCCTTAGTCCAGTTCACTTTGAGTTGTCTGCCCTGCGTCCCTCATCTCCTAGAAGGGTCTACGGTGAAGATGAAGAGGAGGAAGAAGTTCACAGATATGATTCCTACAGAATTCCATCCAAATATGAGGCTGGCCCAAGTTTTGTTGATCTCCGCCAGCGTCATGACAAAACAACTTATAAACCTCCAAGGCAAAAGCAGAGGGTGTATGAAGAAAGAGAGGACCAGGAGCTGCTGCGGCCACACACGACTGCTCAGAGAATCACCTCTTACAAGAGTGAACTCAAACGAATGGAGTTTGAGGAGAAGACACGAATCTCACAAAAGGAAAGCACTGTTGCTGTTTCAAGAATCTCTGAAGTCACAGAATCTGAGCACCTGACAGCTTTTACCTCAGAATATATCCCTAAACCAATCAAAAAGCTCCCAGAGCCCGTGAGGAAAAGATCCCCTACCCCAGAAAAGGCTGTCAAGACAGATGTGACACTCCCTAAGGTTGACTTCATGTCCAGGTATGAGGAGAGAAAGCAGGCTCTGAGATCAGAGAGAAGATCTGTAGAGAGAAAGGTTGAGGTGGTGACACAAGCACCCTTCAGCCTTGACCATCCCCCACGCATTACTGTCAGGATGCGATCTCATCGTGTTCCTTATTGGTCCAACACAAGATTTACCCTGAATATCCAGGCCAAACCTGAACCTGAGGTCAAGTGGTTCCACAATGGAAAACAAATCCATTTGAGCAGCAAATATACCATGACCAACATCAGTGGAGTCCTGACTCTCCAGATCATCAACTGTATGACTGAAGATTCTGGCACCTACCGTGTGGTTTGCAAGAATGCCAAAGGAGAGACTTCTGACTATGCCACACTAGATGTAGCAGATGAATACGCTGCCTTCTCTTCACTTCGCAAAGATGAGGAGCCTCCATCTGCCCATCTGCCAGAGATGACCAAAACAGAGGTATATCACGTCTCATCCTCTAAAACATTAGTAACGGAAGCTGTAACTGAGACTGTGAAGGAGACCACTACTGTTGTTGAGAAGCCAAAGGAGAAGCCCAGTGTCCCTGCCAAAATTCTGACTAAGCCACAGTCCCTCACTTTAGAGGAGGGACACACTGCCAGATTTGAATGTGATGTGGATGGTGAACCAGCACCTTCTATAAGCTGGCTGCGTGAAGGAGCAGTTGTTGCTCCCTCTGCCCGACACCACATTGTGTCTACTCAGTACAACTCCTCCTTTGAGATCTCCTCTGTTGAGATGTCAGATGAAGGCAGCTACACTCTCTTAGTCGAAAACGCTGGAGGCAAACAAGAAGCCCATTTCACCCTGACCATCCGGAAGTCTGAGTCAAAGGAGAAAGTGGTTGCCCCTCCCAGAGTAACTTCTCCAGAGGCTAAATCCCCTCTTGCAAAGTCCCCTGAACCGGTCAAATCTCCCCAGAGGGTGAAATCCCCTGAGCCAGTCAAGTCACCACAGAGAGTGAAGTCTCCAGTCTCACCAAAATCCCCAACACCAAAATCTCCAACACCAAAATCCCCAACCCCAAAATCTCCTACTCCCAAATCCCCAGTCACATCTCAGAAGGAAGAAGCGATTTCTCCAATCAAGCCAAAGAGAGTGATGTCACCGCCTCTCGGAAAGAAGCCGTCCTTCTCTGTTGGGCTGAGTGACATCACAGCGTACTCTGATTCTGTTGTGAAGCTGTCAGTAAAGTTGACAGGAGAGCCCACACCTACAATCTCGTGGATGAAGGATGGAAAGGTAACCTAATCAAACTTGAACTATTCCAGAATTCGTTTTTAATAATATTTGAGGGAAATGCATTATATTTACCTTATTGAGAAATCCAGTCATATTTTCTGTATGGGCAGGTTTTGTCTCAAGGTGGAAAGTATGAATTATTTGAGGATTCTGGCTCCGCTCATCTCGAGATCTATGAATTGGAGGCCTCTGATAGTGGGGTGTACAAGTGCACTGCTACAAACAGCACTGGAGCAGTTTCAACTATGTGTACTGTCAGTGTACAAGGTAAGTCTACACCTGATTTGTACACCTACAAATGTTTAAACCAGAGGTGTCAAAATTACATCTGCATTTCAGTGAAATTGGAGCAGAATTTTTAAAAATTAGGAGCTGGGTAAAGTGATACCCATTTTTATTTTCAGCCATTTTCCATTGTGGTGGACAAAAGGTCCAGGCCTTAAACCTCATGCGTGTTCTCCCATTTAACTCCAAAGAGTCGTGCTGACAGATTTCTTTCTTTATCACAGCAGCTTTTTCGTTATCATGTGGAGCTGTGTGTAAAATGAGTTTGACACGCCTAGCTTAAACTCTTTCCTGACATAATGTCTTTCTTACGTCTTTTCTAGGCTCAAAGAGCTCCAAAACAAAAGCTGAAATCTCTGAGGACGTTGTAAAAAGAGAAATGATCCATGAAGAAATCTCGTCTTCTGTAAAGGAGGTGAAGACCTCCCACAGCCAGATGTCGATCACAGAGGGCCAGTCTCTAACACTGAGGGCGAGCGTCCCTGGTGCCTCTGACGTCAGATGGATCCTAAACGGGGTTGAACTGACCAACTCGGAGCAGTACAGATATGGAGTATCTGGAAGTGACCACACCCTAACCATCAGGACGGTGACTGAGCATGAGCAGGGGATCCTCACGTGTGAGGCGCAAACACAGCGAGGACTGGTCCGCTGTCAGTTTAACACCACGGTCACCACCAAGCGATCAGACGCGCCTCATTTTCTGGTGCAGCCCAGGTCCCAGAATGTTAATGAAGGACAAAATGTGAAATTCATGTGTGAAATTGCAGGAGAGCCTTCTCCTGAAGTGGAGTGGTTGAAAGACAACATGATTGTGAGTGTTTTCTTCAGAAGATTTATGGAAAATCAGTCAGTTGAATTAGTCTTTAAGCCAATTCTAAATTACTTTACTGTTTGCAGATATCTGTCACATCAAACTTGAAACTGAGCCACTCTAAGAATGTGTATACTCTGGAGATACGTGAAGCCACAGTTGCAGACAGTGGGAAATACACAGTAAAGGCCAAAAATCAGTTTGGACAGTGCTCTGCAACTGCGTCCCTCAACGTCTTCAGTAAGTTACCGCCGCTGCATTTCAGCCACCGTGTCACAGTGTGTTTAATTAGCTTGTATGCTAATGAGTCTTGGACTGCACCAAAGCCACTATTTAGTGGAAATCCAAGGCACTTGAGCATCCTCAGCTTACACTCAGTGTACGCAAATGGTTTGCAGTAACTGTGCACATTGTGATATGAGCCATGTGCTTGTCATCTGCATCCTTACAGCTCTTGTTGAAGAACCGACAAAAATTATAATCGCAGAACAAAGAGCTTCTACTGACACTGCAGCGAGCATGCAGAAAAGATTCATGGCCTCCTCAGTTCACATGGAAGCAGCTTCCATGCAGGCCAGCAGTGTCAGCAGCAGCTCCCGCTCTGCTGCTGCCGGGTTTTCATTTGAGAGCATGTCTGCGACTAGCATGTCAGCCACGATGGCCGAGTCGGTGGTTTCCATGAGCTCCAGGAGCACGATGATGGAAATGTCTGCTCATACGCATGCCGAGTCCTCATCTTCACTGAAGGCCCTCACCACGGGGATTAAAAGAGGTGAGACGCCTTTCAAAATGTGCATGTAAACTCAGACAGCAGGACCCGAATGAGCAACTGTAATGGTGAAAGCATTGTGGCATTTCTCCTTTCCTCCTCTCACTGTTATCATCAGCTTATGATTCAAATATCTGCACTGATATGTTTGCAACAACATACGAGGGAAGACAAACACATGGTTGTCACCAGCAGCCTGCTGTTCTCACACAGCCTTTGACCGTAACAGAGTCTTCATCCAACGTTCTCTTCTCTAACAGGCACTCCACCAAAGGTCGAAGCTCTTCCAGAGGACGTGTGCGCAGAGCCGGGGAAGTCTCTAACCGTAGTGGGGATGTTCTCCGGAGACCCCACACCCTCTGTCAAGTGGGTCCGCTCAGGTCGGACGCTCCCCAATGGGGATGAGCGATACCACGTGGAGAATACCACTGACCTCTCCACCCTCGTGATCTCTGCAGTGAAGGAGGCTGATGCCGGAGCGTACACCCTCAGACTGTCCAACGAGCTCGGCTCCGACTCTGCAACCGTCAACATTCGCATTCGGTCCATGTAAAAAGGAAGACAAAGTCAATTCACGTCCCCCGTTTCCCTCATCCAGAACCTCTTTATTTAGTGACGCAGCACCAATAATCCTACTTGATAAAGATCTGGATTTCTGTTCTTGTAAATATGAACTATTTTTGACATTAATTTATGCCAAACTAGACTAAAGTCTAAAGTTGTTATAAAATGTGCCATATTGGACAGTTATGACTTAGGATTTTTGAGAGACGTTTCTGTGACATGTACATAATGTATATAGCCGAATTTAACGGTTATGGGAAATGTATGCATTGTTATTTATGACAATATAATATTAACTGAAACAAAAGAACGAATGTTTGAACAGGAGAAAGTTTCCGCTGGAACGAATACCCTGTGAAACCAAGAAACTAAAATCTGTGCCTCAACGGTAAGTTGAAGTCTTTAAGATTGCCTC